CTCTAAAATTTTCAGGTGCAAAATATTTTTCCACCCTGGATGCTGCTCAAGGTTTTTTACAGGTTCCTTTAGATGAGGAGAGTTCTAAGATGACAACTTTTGGAACGCCTTGGGGCAGATATTGTTTTTTGCGAATGCCATATGGGTTAACTAGTGCCCCAGAAGTTTATCAAGAAAGAATGAATGAGATTTTTGGTGATATTGATGGATGTAGTATATATGCGGATGATTTAATAGTTTATGCAGATTCCCCAGAAAAACATGATGGAATTTTGAAAAAAGTCCTTGAAACAGCTGCAACAAAGGGCATCAGGTTTAATAGAAATAAATGTAATTTTTTTGTTGACAAAGTCAAGTATATGAGACACCAGGTTTCAGAGAAGGGATTAGAACCAGACGGTTCAAAGATTGAGGCTATTAAAAATATGCCTAGGCCCAGGGATAAAACTGATGTGCAGAGATTTTTGGGATGTATAACGTATATAGGAAAGTTCATTAAAAGTTTATCTGTAATAACGGCCCCCTTGAGAGATCTTTTAAAGAAAGACGTAATTTTTCAGTGGTTAGATGTGCATGAAAGAGCATTTTTGAGGTTGAAAGAAATGGCGTGTAAAAGCCCATGTTTGCAATTTTTTGATATACATAAAGTTACAACTATTTCAGTAGATGCTAGTCAAAAGGATACGGGTGCTGTATTGATGCAGATGGGTAAGCCTTGTGCATATGCATCAAGATCTTTTACAGCAACTCAGCAAAGATATAGTCAAATAGAGAAAGAATTACTGAGCATTTTTTTTGGCATTGATAGATTTTCTCAATTTATATATGCTAAACATTTCATTGTGGAAACAGATCATAGACCTCTTATTCACATAATTAAAAAGCCACTTAACGAATGTCCTGCTAGGTTACAACATATCTTGATTCAATTGAGGAAATATGACTTTGATTTGATTTATAAACCAGGAAAACAGTTGATTATAGCTGATACTCTGAGTAGAGCCTTTGAACAAGAAAAAATTTTTAATGAAAATCTGGATATTGAAGTAGAGGCACATGTATGTTTAATTTCTATGCAATTAAATGCAACTCAGGATAGAATTTTGGAATTAAAAAATAATACAAAGAAAGATAGGGACCTCAAAGCTATCATTGATTTCATAAATAATGGCTGGCCGAATTGTTATAAAAAGATACCAAATCACTTAAAATTTTATTATAAAGTAAGAGGTGAACTTAATGTCATAGATGGTTTGGTGTATAAGAGCCAAAAGTTGATTGTTCCTAAAGATAGTAGAGCTCATATCTTGAATAAAATTCACTATAGTCATATGGGAATAAATAAATGTCTGTCTAAAGCTCGCCTTTCTTTTTTCTGGCCAGGCATGAATAAACAAATTCAAGATATATAGTAACATCATGCCACTTGTGTTAGGCTTATCAAAAGAGTCAGATGCCTGAGCCTATGACTTCTCACGGGTTTGATGAGATTCCGTTTAGCAAGGTTGCAGTGGATATTTTTCATTTGTTTAACGAGTCATATCTTCTTTTAGTTGACTACTACTCTAAATTTGTTGATGTCATGAATCTAAATAGGGATCTTTCAAGTTATAATGTAATTTGTAAATTAAAATCATGTTTTGGACGGTTTGGAATACCAATGACTGTGATGTCAGATTCAGGCCCTGAATTTGCTAGTTTTGAGTTTGCTAGATTCGCTAAGCAATATGAATTTAATCACATCAGAAGCTCACCAAGATATCCACAAAGTAATGGTGCTGTGGAAAGGGCTATTAAAACTGTAAAATCAATATTAAGAAAAAGTATTCTGGACAATAAAGACCCCTATTTGGCTCTCTTGGATTATAGAAATACTCCTATTGATGGTCATAATACACCTGCTAACATTCTTATGTGTAGAAATCTTAGATCTTTATTGCCCTTGCCCAATGCTAAATTTAAATCTAAAATGTATCAGAAAAACAAATATTCAAATTTCATTAAAAAATCTCGAAACAATCAAAAGTTTTATTATGATAAAAAAGGTACCAGAGATCTTAGAAAATTAGACTGTGATGAAACTGTTATGATTCAATTAAAGCCTAAGGGCCAATGGCAGGAGGGTAAAATTAATAGAGTGTTACCCAACAAATCTTACCAGGTTGTCTTGATCAATGGAAGATCATATATTCGAAATCGTAGATTTATCAGACCATTTAAAAAGCATAATTTTGACAACCAGCAAAAACTTGCTGATGAAAGTATAAATAATTCATTTCAATACCCAAATTACATTGCAATTCATGAAGATAATGCAAAAAATATTAATAACGAGAATATTGATCAAGACAATGGTGACGAATTTTTTCAACAACGTAATTCTGATTGTGAATCTGTTGAACCTCAAACGACTAATCCAAATAAATTTGGAATTTGCATGCCTAACTCAGAAGCTAGAGGACACCTAGCAAGTAGTGCAAAAGTTTCAGAAAATGACGTTCTAGAAAATAGTATTAATAGTAATAGTGATGTCTCAAATGTTTGTAAAAGTGATCATAGCATAGATAATAGTGACGAATCCTTTAAAATGTGTGAAGAAACTGTATTAAATGAAAATAATAGTTCTAGTTTATGTTCTAGTTCCGATCAGGACACTCAAGAGCCAACTTTGGTTCCAGAAAATTTTGTAAATAAATTTGGTAGGGTTATAAAACGACCATATAGATACTCAGATATCTATAAGTAACATTGTTCTGTAAATTAATTTCCTTCCTTCTTAAAAACTAATATTGAAATGAGCTGATTTATGTACCTCATTTCAAAACTCATTTTACTGCGTTTATTACACAATAAACAAAGTTTTATAGATTTTTTTTTGTCATAAAAAGAGAGGAGAAGATTGGCTGTAATTTGTGTTGTATGCATTGAAGGTTACATAGCGTCTCTGTAGTTCTAATCTAGGTGCTAAAAGGCTGTACAAACAGTCGTATTTGTTTTGGGATTAATTTGAGTTGTTTGTAATTTTGAATTGTTACAGCATTGTATGTTCTGTTCATGGAACAGCAGTTAATGCAGCATTGTAAATGTTACTGCTATACTAGTGATAAAATGTGATTCTTGTCTCTGTGATATTAATTTATTAATTGTAATTTGTATATTGTAATTAAGTCTTAATTTAAGAAGGGAGATGTAAAGTATGAACATGAACGCACACCTCGTCACATGAGGTAGGTTAATGTCAATTGTCAACCTGCGGATTTACAATAAATCATATATTCAGTGTCCACTAGAACGTTGTTTAATTCACAACCTCCTCCTCCTAACCACACATAAGATAAGACATTGTGAAGCAATCAGGCCTATGATGTATCCTCTCCTGTTATTTTAACAGTTGTGTTATAGGTCAAAATCTATACCTGTCTCTATTTTTACGTGTAGAATAAACAGTGACAGATAACTTAAGGTTGCTGTTAAAATAACAGAAAATGATACACCATAGGACTGAATATCTAGATATTAAGGGTGTTGTAGAAAGACGATTTAAAGATAATTTCCCTGGTCCTGATTGACACCCCACCATTATTTTTAATTTAAGTATTTTTTGCATATATTTTGCATATTTTTATAATGAATAAATAAATATTTTTAATAAATTGATGTTAACCCAGATTTTTCATCGCTCTAAATAATTCGCTGAACAAAAAATTTCAACTCAAGATGTGTGCTGGGGTATTATTTTTATTTTTCTGCTGTCCCAAGTAACCCCTGAGTAGTTTAACATGCATTTTCGGTGTAAAAACCGGTACAGTCCCATCTAACCCCAATGCGGGTAACTTGGGACAGTGAATATTTTATTTTTTTTCTACAAAATGTTCTTACAGTATGAGCCATTTATGGTGCTTTATAGGTTAAATGCATATGAAAGAAAATTTTATACACAGGAATTGTTGCTCTGCCTTCCTAAAAACTCTGATAAATTACCACATTATTGAAAAAATGGAAGTGAATTTGTCCCAAGTAACCCCATTTTACGGTATTTTCACAAAAAACGGTGCAAGTTTTTCCTAAAATTGCTATGGTTTTGGCTTAAAAACATATGAAGCAATATATTTGCATTTTTAGAACATTTAGTTTAGCTAAAATAAAAGTTCGGTATCACCTTAACCAAATCCGTCCGAACCTGCCCCACTCTACCCTACCAGATTCAACAAATGATAATCCAAATTGTTTTTATTATTGAATGGGGTTTGGGTTGGGTGAGCCACTTCACTATTTGCCCGATGAACCAAATGACCCTCAGTCCGACACTGCTAGAGAGGGTAAATAATCACCTGTCAAACATGAATTTGGAAATCTATCGAAAATCATCCGAAAAAAAAAACTCAATTTGAAGCTAATTTTTTCATATTTCCATTTTCCAACCCATAAAGGCAATAGGTGCCCTGAAACTGTACCGATTTTGAAGAAAAATGGACACAATATTGATAGATACAAATCATCAGAAAAAAACAATTAATTTGAAGTTACCTTGGTACCAAAATGATGTACTTATGTCAAAGTCTCTCGTAAAATGGCAAAAAGATGAAAACTTTGCACTAAAACTTTCGTTTTGGGGTCATACCCCTTTCAAAAGTTGAATTAATTGATTCAATAAAAACTTTGAAGGTAATAAATAGGAAGGTACATAAGACCCAACCTATGTCTTCTATAAATCGATTAAAATACATACTAACAAAAATGACTAATAAAGAAAATATGTATTATGTAGTGTAACATATGAATAATAAATTGCAATTAATTGCAGTAATTAATTATTATAAAACCTTGAATCTTTATTTATCACTATGTATGCGTTTGTAAACAAAGACTCAAGTACCTATATAAGTGATTCATTAATAAATAAATAAATAAAAAAAAGTTTTCTAAGCAAATTAGTCAAAAATTAAGTTGCATTCATCATTTTTATTAAAATAATTGATGATTTATTGACAATACTATACCTTTTCGTCTTCAGCCTGATATCTACGATCAACCATTTTTAAAAGGACTTTCCCCCCAATCTAAACGGCGTACTTTGCACTATCGATACACAAACAACGTTTATAATGTGATTAATAAAAATCTAAATGGAAGACAATTATAATGAATGTGCATTGTTTATACCATACACGTATAAAATGAGTAAAAATCGTTATTAAACAAGCCACGCCTGTAAACATAATATAGAAAACGCGGCTCGAAGGACCATTTAATGAATGACCCAACAACACAACCAAACCACGTCGACCTGCTGCGCTGGGTTTATGCTGGTAGGAGCGCGATTAAATTTTACCTTTGTGGCCAGGTACGGATTGAATAATAATTTCACTTTTTTCAAGCCGCTAACTTGTATATTCAAGACACAAAGGGCGCTTATTGGAATTATTTGCGGGTTTGAATATTTTGAAAATTAATCTATTTTGAGTTTTGTTAAGAAAAATTGATTGGGTTTCTTCGAAAATATAGACATTTGAATTAAAATATCATTGTTGAAATCTTAATGTATTTATAATTAATCCCAGTAAACACCAGCTACATAAAGTTAAGGTAGAAATGTATACGTAGGTAACTACCTACTCTACTATATGTATATAATTTCTAAGTTATTTTCAAGTCAACGATCCCCCGACCCCAAAAACCCTTAAAAAGAATTGACTTTGACATATGTCAAAAAATGACAGCTTGACAAGAACAAACATCTTTTTTGACACATGTCAAATTTGAAACATTCGAATAAATTTTTTGACATTTTGATGATATTGACAAATCTGACACATGTTTGCCCCTCTCCCCATTTTACCATATAAGCTACGATCACCAAACTCGGTACATGACGTATATATGTCATAGGCTATGTATCAGTGTCAATATTTTTTGACAGCTGCCAACGTGAAAAAAGTTTCAATTTTCCATTTAAAAAAAAAAAAATGGCGGATAACGATCCCTGAACCCCAAAAACCCTTTAATAAAATTCACATCGATTTATGTCAAAAATTGACAATTTGACAGCGAAAAACGTGATTTTTTTGACACATGTCAAATTCCTGTTTTAAATTTTCAATTTTTTTCTTCAAATTAAAATGGGAAAATAACGTCTTTTTTTTAATCATTTTTTGTCTAAATTTTTCTTAAATTTCCTTCTTTTACATTTTTTCGTCTTAATTTTGGTCTGTTTCCAATTCAAAATTCAATTTTTATTTATTCTCGGCTCTTGATTGGCTCAATTTGACGTTTTACAATTCAATATTCGAATATTCCCGGTTCTTGATTGGCTCTAAAAATCAATTTTTTCAATTTTCCTGGCTTTTGATTGGCTTTAAAATTTCAATTTTTGAAATTTCCCCACTCTTGATTTACTTTGAAAAAGTTCAAGGCCAAATTAAATAATTATCAAAAACCGAAAAGAATTTCTATTAACGGTGTAAACGTACTTATTTGTATAAGTATAAGATATAAGTGGCGCCACCTAGATTAGACCAAACTAACCATAAAATCAATGCTTTATAAATTGAATGGGTTTACACCAGAATTATTTTTCGCCTTAGTTTTTGTCTGTTAAAGTTTTCGATTTTTTTCTTTAAAATTCAATTTTTGAATATTCCCGGCTCTTGATTGGCTTGATTTGACGTTTTAAAATTCATTGTTTGAATATTCCCGGTTCTTGATTGACTTTAAACATCAATTTTTTCAATTTTCGCGACTTTTGATTGGCTTTAAAATTCAATTTTTTGGTAATTCCCGGCTCTTGATTTGCTTTTAAATTCAATTCTCAAATATTCCTGGCTCTTGATTGGCTTAATTTGACGTTTTAAATGTCAATGTTTGAATATTTCCGGTACTTGATTGAAAGTTTTGTATTTGGTCAACAAAAAGCCAGATTGCCTGATAACTTCTATGACGTCATGTGGGGTACCCAAACATGATGCAAATCTCCCTTAGCACCCCAGGTGACATCATCTGTTTCCAATTACTTGAAATATTAGAGAGACAGCAATATAAGAAATTCAATAACTGAGAAAGAAACGGAAATATAGTGACACTAGAAATGTCACACGAATTTTGATTATTCCCCGCGCTTAAGTGGTCAAGAACTTGAAATAATATTAATATTAAAGAGACAGCAATATAGCAAATTCAATAGGTAAGAGAGAGACGAAAATAAAGTGGGAAAAGAAAAAATATGACATGAGTTTTAATTATTCCTGGCGTTTAAATGAATTTGTATGTAATTTTTGTATCTGGCCAATAAAAAGCCTAGACTAGGCAAGTAGGACAAAGAAAACGATATAAAAAACTTAATGGTTAAGAAAAAGACAGAGATAAAGTAGGATATATTCGATAGACAAGAGCTTGAAATAATAGAGAGACAGCAATATAAGAAATCCACTTAGAAAAGAGAGACGGAAATAAAGTGGGATGTGGGATAAAAAGTCATACAAATTTTGATTATTCCCGGCGCGGCGGTTGAGTAGGCAGGGTCATCTTAAGGACCCAGGCAGTCGCCTTCATTATTATTTTACAGCGTTGCCACTGTTTAATTTTTTTTTTTTTGGAATTTTAAAATTTCGTGTTATAGGCTTGTGAGGCTTGATACTTGTCAAAAACATCAAAATAAATGAAGTTCATGTTATTTTACAGCGTTGCCACTGTTTGTTTTTTTTTCTTGGAATTTTAAAATTTCGTGTTATAGGCTTGTGAGGCTTGATACTTGTCAAAAACGTCAAAATAAATGAAATTCATATTATTTTACAGCGTTGCCACTACTTATTTGTTTTTTTTGTTTTTTCTTGGAATTTCAAAATTTCGTGTTATAGGTTTAAGAGGCTTGAAACTTGTCAAAAACATCAAAATAAATGAAGTTCATATTATTTTACAGCGTTGTCACTGCTTGAGTTTTTTTTCTTGAAATTTTAAATTTCGTGTTATAGACTCGTGACGCTTGACTTTTGATTTTCCAATTGTCAAAAACTTTATATAAGTTTATATAATTTTTCAGCGTTGCCACAGTTTGTTTGTTTTCTTGGAATTTTCAAATTTCGCCTTATAGGCTTGTGACGCTTGATACTTGTCAAAAACATCAAAATAAACGATGTTCATGTTATTTTACAGCGTTGCCACTATTTGTTTTTTTTTTTTGGAATTTTAAAATTTCGTGTAATAGGCTTGTGAGGCTTGATACTTGTCAAAAACGTCAAAATAAATGAAATTCATATTATTTTACAGCGTTGCCACTACTTATTTGTTTTTTTTTGTTTTTTCTTGGAATTTCAAAATTTCGTGTTATAGGCTTAAGAGGCTTGAAACTTGTCAAAAACATCAAAATAAATGAAGTTCATATTATTTTACAGCGTTGTCACTGCTTGAGTTTTTTTCTTGAAATTTTAAATTTCGTGTTATAGACTCGTGACGCTTGACTTTTGATTTTCCAATTGTCAACAACTTTATATAAGTTTATATAATTTTTCAGCGTTGCCACAGTTTGTTTGTTTTCTTGGAATTTTCAAATTTCGCCTTATAGACTTGTGACGCTTGATACTTGTCAAAAACATCAAAATAAACGATGTTCATGTTATTTTACAGCGTTGCCACTGTTTGTTTTTTTTCTTGGAATTTTAAAATTTCGTGTTATAGGCTTGTGAGGCTCGATTTCTGATTTTTTAATTACCAAAAACGTCAAAATAAGTGAAGTTTATATTATATTAGAACGTTGCCGCTGTTTTTTCTTCTTGGAATTTTAAAATCTCGTGTTATAGGCTTGTGAGGCTTGATACTTGTCAGAAGCATCAAAATAAATGAAGTTCATGTTATTTTACAACGTTGCCACTGTTTGTTTTTTTTTTTTTCTAGGAATTTTAAAATTTCGTTTTATAGGCTCGTGACGCTTGATTTCTGATTTTTTAATTGTCAAAAATGTCAAGATAAGAGAAGTTTATATAATTTTTCAGCGTTGCCACTGTTTCTTTTTTTTCTTGGAATTTTAAAATTTCGTGTAATAGGCTTGTGAGGCTTGACTCTTGTCAAAAACATCAAACTAAATGAAGTCCATATTATTTTACAGCGTTGCCATTGCTTGAGTTTTTTTTTTCTTGAAATTTTAAATTTCGTGTTATAAGGTCGTGACGCTTGACTTTTGATTTTTCAATTGTCAAAAACTTCAAGATAAGAGAAGTTTATAAAATTTTTCAGAGTTGCCATTGTTTGTTTTTTTTCTTGGAATTTTCAAATTACGCCTTATAGATTTGTAAGGCTTGATACTTGTCAAAAACATCAAAATAAATAAAGTTCATGTTATTTTACAGCGTTGCCATTGTTTGTTTTTTTTTGTTGGAATTTTCAAATTTTGTTTTATAGGCCCGTGACGCTTGACTTTTGATTTTTCAATTCTAAAAAACGTCAAGACAAGAAAAGTTTATATCATTTTACAGCGTTGCCATTGTTTGTTATTTTTTCTTGGAATTTTATAGGCTTTTGAGGCTTAATACTTGTCAAAAACGTCAAAATAAATGAAGTCCATATTATTTTACAGCGTTGCCACTGTTTGTTTTTTTTTCTTGGAATTTTAAAATTCCGTTTTATAAGCTCGTGACGCTTGATTTCTGATTTTTTAATTGTCGAAAACGTCAAAATAAGTTAAGTTTCTATTATTTTACAGCGTTGCCGCTGCTTGCTTTTTTCTTGGAATTTTGAACTTTTGTGTTATAAGCTGCCCCCCCCCCAGGGTTTAGTCGTTTTAGAACGTTTACCCAGAGCAGCCAAAACCCCAGAGACGTCTCTGTGAGTAAATTTGTTTAGAAGGACAATATAAGAAACTTAATGGTTAAGAAAAAGACAGAGATATAGTAAGATACGTTATATATTGACGCATATTTTGATTATTCCCGGCGCTTGAGTAGTCAAGTGCTTAAAATAATAAAGACAGCAATATAAGAAATGCAATAAATAAGAAAGAGACGGAAATAAACAAAATGACAATACCAGTTGGCCACACCGCTTATTGCATAAGTAATCAAGTATCAAGATCATCATGACGTAAAATTTCCAAAAATGGTAGTTAACACATAAAGTGACGTAAATCAATTGTCAACTCTCAAAAAAATTTCGCCAAAGCAGGTATTTGTAATGCATCCTATGAATGCGTCTGGAAACATCTACAGAACATTGTAATAATTTGTAAAACGTCAAACAAAAGGACATAAGGAATTTACCGGTTAAGAAAAAGACAGCAGAGATAAAGTGGGATAAATTAAATGGTGTGCAAACTTTGATTATTCCCGGCGCTTGAGTGGCCATGAGCTTATAATAATAGAGAGACAGGAAACAGCAATATAAGAATTTTAATAAATAAGAAAGAGACGGAAATAAAGTGGAAAAATGACTTTCCTCTTTGCATGCAAGAAATTTCAAAATTTTCCTTTCATTAGTTTTCTAGGAAAACTTTGAAACATGGAAAACTGTATTTTCAATTATTTAAGTTATTGTAAGTCGATTTACAATGTTATTATTTTCCTGTGGAAAAATTTGAAATTTTGGGAAATGAGCTTTTCACTTTCCTCTTTACATACAAAAAGTTTCAAAACTTTCCCTCTATTAGCTTTCCAGGAAAACTTTGAAATGTGGGAGACTGTATTTTCCATTAATTCAGTTATTGTAAGTTGATTTTCAAGATTTTTCATGTTGTTATTTTCCTGTGGAAAAATTTGAAATTTTGGGAAAATGAGCTCCTAACTTTCCTCTTTGTATACAGAAAGTTTCAAAATTTTCTCTTGATTAGTTTTCCAGGAAAACTTTTAAATGTACGAGACTTTCAGTTATTGTAAGTCATTTTTCAAAATTTTTCATGTTGTTATTTTCCATTAGAAAAATTTGAAATTTTGGGAAAATGAGCTTTTCACTTTCCTCTTTGCATACAAAAGGTTTCAAATTTTCCAGTAAAACTTTGTAATGTGGGAGAATTTATTCCTAATTAATTCAGTTATTATTATATTAATTCAATTATTATAAGTCGATTTTCAAGATTTTTCATGTTGTTATTTTCCACTGGAAAAATTTGAAATTTTGGGAAAATGAGCTTTTTACTTTCCTCTTTGCACACAAGAAATTTCAAACTTTTCCCGCAATTAGTTTTCCGGGAAAATTTTGAAATGTGTGAGACTGTATTTTCAATTAATTCAATTATTATAAGTCGATTTCCAAGATTTTTCATGGTGTTATTTTCCTGTGGAAAAATTTGAAATTTTAGGAAAATGAGCTTCTAACTTTCCTCTTTACATACAAAATGTTTCAAAAGTTTTCCTTTATCAGTTTTCCAGGAAAATTTTGAAATGTGAGACTGTATTTTCAATTACATAATTCAGTTATTGTAAGTCGTTTTTCAAGATTTTTCATGTTATTATTTTCCAATGGAAAAATTTGAAATTTTGGAAAAATGAGCTTCTAAAGTTACTTTTCACATACAAAAAGTTTCAAAATTTTCCCTTTATTAGTTTCCCAGGAAAACTTTGAAATGTGGGAGACTGTATTTTCCATTAATGCAGTTATTGTAAGTCGATTTTCAAGATTTTTCATATTGTTATTTTCCACTAGAAAAATTTGAAATTTTGGGAAAATGAGCTTTTAATTTTCCTCTTCGTATACAGAAAGTTTCAAAATTTTCCCTTGAATAATTTTCCAGGAAAACTTTGAAATGTGCGAGACTGTATTCAGTTATTGTAAGTCACTTTTCAAGATTTTTCATGGAAAAATTAAATTTAATATAAAAATAAAAAATAAATTTAATATGAAAAAAGAAAAAAACTATATTTTGATACACCTCTGTACTGAACAATGATTCACAGTGCAATAATTACTTAAAACTTCATTTTAGTGCAGGGGCAAATATACAGATAATAGATACATTATTATACTGTGACCTATTTAATTTGAAATACAATTTATTTCCATTTGTTTTACATACATTATAAACAATAATATTTTTTATAATAGAATATCAAGGAAAGTAACGGGGTACTCGTATGTAGATTGTATCCCAAAAGAAATTGTAGAGGAACCAATGAAAGTTCTAGAGTACTTCTCAGATAATATTGCAGTCTACAATAATGATAGTTTATAATAATTGAAATTTATTGTTGAATGAAGTTTCAAGTTTAATTCTAAACCAAATTTACATAGAAAATCATTAAAAAATGGTACAAAAACCTCATATAAAAGATCATTAACCTTCTTAAAATCAAGGTTCACTGTCTTGAAGACAATAGTCCCAATGTACTTGAATTTTCAAAGAAACTAGGTAAAAACAATTCACACATCAATTCAATACAAATTTATTTTCGTACACATACATAATACAAAGTATTGTTTCTTAATTAGTATATTAATATATAAAAAATACTTGTCATTTTTAAGCAATATTTAATTAAGTAGATTTTTTTTTGGACATATGGACGGACAAAGCAACAAAACATTTAAAAAACGTAACACAATTTTAGTACAAAAATTAATAAATAATAAGTCTGTTTCTACAGAAATCACAAATTAGTCAAAGTTTGTGATTTCTGCAGTAACAGACCTAATAATATAAAAAAAGACACAATTCTAGTATGTAATTAAATATCAGTATGATGAGAAGATGTAGGTTTCTGCACTTCAATACTGTAATGACTCTGAGGAATTGACCCTCTCAGCCTCCTGTATTTGACCCTACGTGCCTCAACCAAAAACAAGGCCCCAGCAGGGAAAAGCAACAAAGACCCCACACAAGCCAATCCAAAAGACCAACTCAAATCGTTGTGTTGCCAGTGGGGCATCCAATCTCTATTATCCCCATTAAAACCAAATATAAGGACCCCAATTAGCCCACAAAAGCCTGCTAAAATTAAATTAGCCCCATTACTAAGCAGTAATAGTAAATATTTGTCGTGGTCTCTGCTGCAAAAGCAATACAGCCATGTTAAAAAGGCTGCAACAAGTACCAAAGTCATACATAAAGTAAAGAAAAATTGGGTTGCAATGAAAAACCCTGGCAGTAGAAAATCATTGATAATGTAGTACTCTTCTTCAAAAACCCACCAGCAACCTGTGAATTTGTAGTCATACTGGTGCCGAAAGTCTTCGAATTTGTTCAGGCAAACTTCCCAAAGTCCTACAAGATAATTACGTTAAAAATTAGGAATTTTAGGCTAAAAATCACTTACCAATTTTTTGGAAATTGGAATCTGGTACTAAGCCATCATTGACTAGCCAATAGGGTGTGACAAAAGCCAATAAGATGAATATAAAAGCGGTCACAGTCACAGCGATTGCTGCCAGGCCTGTTTTAGTTTTGATACCCATTATTTATGAAATAATTATTTCAGAAATTAAATAATTATTATGAGGAAAATATAAACATGGCCATGAATGGGGAAATCCCTTATATTAGTCAAATGTCATTTTTAATGGCTACGTTCCAAAATTTTCAAATGTCATAATAATTGTCAAAGAAGAAATTCCGAATGACTATGTTCCAATATTAAAAAATTGGATTTGTCTGTAGAATGCAATGAATTTCAGAGCAGAAGTATTTCTTTACTCCAAGCACAAAAACAACTGTTACGACTCCGCTCTAACTCCAAATTGAATGAATTTCTGCTCTGCTCTTTATTTTTGTCTAAATTTTTCTAAGCTCTTATAGTTAACGTTTAAAATATTGTCTATCTGTCAAATTTCAAAATAAAGTCTGTTTTTTTTTACAGTGGCTAAATAAACCTTTACATACAGTGGCGACAATAGAGGTCCCGCCGCCATCTTGTTCCCAACCTCTTGTTACTTTTAAATATTAATATATAGGATTCAAATGGACATCTATCATAAAAAATTGAAATCGACGTATTTGATGACCATTATTAGGTCTATCAAATACGTTATTTTCCATGATTTATGATGGATGTTCACCTAAATCCCATATATTCATATTAAAAAGTAACAAGGGGTTGGGAACAAGATGGCGGTGTTTTCAATATAATATATGGGATTTTAGAACCAATCAAAAATGAGACAGCAATTGTCGCCACTGTGGGTTATAGAGTCACTGTATTTTTTTTTAAAGATAATTCCCCAAGTCAAAAATGTAGTAACTATGTTGGCAACACAAGCCTTTTCTACATAAAAAATTTGAAGCATTGACAATTTTACATTGTATTGCCAACATAATGTCAGTTTGACTTTTATCTTTAAAAAAAAAAACAGATTTTAGTAAGCTCTGAATGCAAACAACTCAAAATCGCTTTAAGTTTTTTTTTTTTTAATGATCAAAGACAGCGTAATTTTTTTGACAGTTGACAATTCATGTGTCAACTGTCATCTTTGAAAATTTAGCGTCATTTTGCTTGATTACTCCATGCAATAAACGGTGTTGCCAAGTGTAGTGTAATATTGATTGATTTTTTATAAAATTTTATTTATTCGAAGCGGAAATATTGAAATTGAAAATGGTCTTTTTTTGACTTTTTTTTTTTTTACTCCGAGCACAAAAACTGTTCTGACTCCACTCTAACTCCGAGTTGAGTTATTTTTGTTTAGATTTTTCTAGGCTTTTGATTGAATTGTTGCCTATTATAGATGACGTTTGAAGTACTGTTTATCTATCAACTGTCAAAATAGGCTCTGAGTGCAATCAAATCGGAATCGCCTTGAGTTTGTTCAAAAATGATCGAAGACAATAATTTTACAAATTATTAAAATTTTCTGTAGATTTTTGGGTACAAATATTTTGTTATTTCAATGCGTACTCCAGTGTATTGGCATCTTTTTCTAAAAGCATGAAAATAGAAGGATAAGGAGGGATAAAGATACATTTTTTTTTTTGCACTGACTCACTATTAAACATTGGTTTATGTGTCAACTGTCATTTTAAGACAACTTAATTGCTTATGCACAAAGCGGTGTTGCCAAGTGAATAGTATCATTTTGATTTTTTTTTTTATTTAATTTTGTCTTCTCTAGAAATTTTTTCTCAATTTTTTTTCTATTTTCGGCTTTTGAATTTTTGTTTTTTCCTGAATTTTTACTCTAAAATTTACAAGGCCTACTTGGGCTTTGTTTTTTTCTAAATCTTTAAGCCTCATCAGTAATTGAAACAATGATTGTTGTAAGTTGAAGTTGACAGTACTGTTCGATAACTGACAAAGTAAGCTTTGGAAAATTTGATACTCTGTAATACCGATATCGCAATACATATACATTTTCAAGGCCTACTTGGTTTGATAAATCTTTCGCTTACAGTTGTTGAGGCTTTCATATAACTCCGGTCCTTCGGGCTTTCCCTATAACTCCGGTCCTTCGGGCTTTCCCTATAACTCCGGTCCTTCGGGCTCGCATATAACGGTTTATTTACCTTCTGATAAATTGTCTATAGGATGCATTACAAATACCTGTTTTGGCGGAATTTTTTTGACAGCTGACAATTGATTTATGCGTCAACTGTCATTTCTGGAAATGTTACGTCATGTTGCTTGATTACTTATGCAAAAAGTGGTGTTGCTAATAGTATTGTCATTTTGATTTTTTTTTTTCAATTGAATTTTGATTTCGTAGTTTTTTTTATTATGTTTCTCATTGATTTTAACTTTTTTCTGCCTTTTTCTTATTTTTTGAATTTCCTATATTGCTGTTTCTTTATTATTCATAATAATAATCAAAATATGCGTCACAGTCTAATATGTTCGAAATTCCAAGAAAAAGAGCAACCAGTGGCAACGTTGTAAAATAATAAAAACTTCACTTATTTTGACGTTTTTGACAATTAAAAAATTAAAAGTACAACCGCACAAATCTATAACACGAAATATGAAATTCCAAGAAAAAAAAAAAGAAACAGCGGCAACGCTGTAAAATAATATGAATTACATTTATTTTGACGTTTTTGACAAGTATCAAGCCTATAACACGAAATATTAAAATTCCAAGAAAAACAGTGGCAACGCTGTAAAATAATATAAACTTCTCTTGTCTTGACGTTTTTGACAATTGAAAAATCAAAAGTCAAGCGTCACAAGCCTATAAAACGAAATTTTAAAATTCCAAGAAAAAAAAAACAAACAGCGACAACGCTGTAAAATAATATGAACTTCATTTATTTTGATGTTTTTGACAAGTATCAAGCCTCATAAGTCTATAAAACGAAATTTTAAATTTCCAAGAAAAAAAGCAGACAGTTGCAATGCTGTGAAATAATATAAACTTCTCTTATCTTGACATTTTTGACAATTGAAAAATCAAAAGTCAAGCACCACGAGCCTATAAAACGAAATTTTAAAATTCCAAGAAAAAAAACAAACAGTGGCAACGTTGTAAAATAATATGGACTTCATTTATTTTGACGTTTTTGACAAGTATTAAGTCCCACAAGCCTATAACACGAAATTTTAAAATTCCAATAAAAAATAACAAACAGTGGCAACGTTGTGAAATTATATAAACTTCTCTTATCTTGACGTTTTTGACAATCAAAAGTCAAGCGTCATAAGCCTATAAAACGAAATTTTAAAATTCCAAGAAAAAAACACAAACAGTGGCAACGCTATAAAATAATATGAACTCCATTTAATTTAATGTTTTTGACAAGTATCAAGCCTCACAAGCCAATAACACGAAGTTTTAAAATAACAAGAAAAAAAAACAAACAGTGACAACGCTGTAAAATAATATAAACTTCTCTTATTTTGACGCTTTTGACAATTAAAAAATCAAAAGTCAAGCGTCACGAGCCTATAAAACGAAATTTAAAATTCCAAGAAAAAAAAATAACAGCGGCAACGCTGTAAAATAATATGAACTTCATTTATTTTGATGTTTTTAACAATCATCAAGTTTCACAAGCCTATAACGGGAAATTCTGCAATTCCAAGAAAAAAAAAAACAAACAATGGCAACGCTGTAAAATAATATAAACTTCTCTTATTTCGACGTTTTTGACAATTAAAAAAATCAAAAGTCAAGCGTCACGAGCCTATAAAACGAAATTTTAAAATTCCAAGAAAAAAAAACAAACAGTGGCAACGCTGTAAAATAATATGAACTTCATTTATTTTGATGTTTTTGACAAGTATCAAGCCTCACAAGCCTACAACACCAAATTTTAAAATTCCAAGAAAAAAAAAACAAACAGTGGCAACGCTGTAAAATAATATAAACTTCTCTTGTTTTGACGTTTTTGACAATTAAAAAATCAAAAGTCAAGCGTCACGAGCCTATAAAACGAAATTTTAAAATTCCAAGAAAAAAAAAATAAACAGTGACAGTGTAAAATAACATGAACTTCATTTATTTAGATGTTTTTGACAAGTATCAAGCCTTACAAGCTTATAACGCGAAATTTTAAAATTCCAAGAAAAAAAAACAAACAGTGGCAACGCTGTAAAATAATATAAACTTCATTTATTTTGATGTTTTTGACAAGTATCAAGCCTCACAAGCCTATAACACAAAATTTTAAAATTCCAAGAAAAAAAACAAACAGCGGCAACACTGTAAAATAATATAAACTTCTCTTGTCTTGACGTTTTTGACAGTTAAAAAATCAAAAATCAGGCCTCACGAGCCTATAAAACGAAATTTTAAAATTCCGAGAAAAAAAAACAAACAGTGGCAACGCTGTAAAATAATATAAACTTCTCTAATCTTGACGTTTTTGACAATTGAAAAATCAAAAGTCAAGTGTCGCGTCAAGTATCAAGCCTCACGAGCCTATAAAACGAAATTTTAGAATTCCAAGAAAAAAACAAACAGCGGCAACGCTGTAAAATAATATAAACTTCTCTTATCTTGACGTTTTTGACAATTTAAAAATCAAAAGTCAAGCGTCACGAGCCTATAGAACGAAATTTTAAAATTTCAAGAAAAAAAACTAACAGCGGCAACGCTGTAGAATAATATAAACTTCAATTGTTTTGACGTTTTTAACCAATGAAAAAGGCTCACAAGTCTATAAGATGAAATTTTGACATTCCAAGAAAAAAGATAAACAGTGGCAACGCTGTAAAATAATAATGAAGGCGACCGCCTGGGTTCCTAAAGACGGACCTGCCTACTCAACCGCCGGGAATAATTGAAATTTGTGTGACTTTTTTGTCCTACTTTATTTCCGTCTCTCTTTTACTTATTGAATTTCCTATATTGCTGTCTCTCTATTATTCCAAGCTCTTGGCCACTTAAACGCCGAGAATAATCAAAGTTTGCACCTCTTTCGAATATATCCTACTTTATCTCTGTCTTTTTCTTAATCATTAATTTTTTTATATCGTTTTCTTTGTCCTACTCTTCTAGTGTAGGCTTTCCATTGGCCAGATACAAAAAATACAAACGCTCACTCAAGCGCCGGGAATAATTAAAATTCGTGTTACATTTTTTTTCCAACTTTATCTCCGCCTCTTTCTTATTAATTGAATTTCTTATATTGCTGTCTCTTTATTATTTTAAGTTCTTGGCCCCTCAAGCGCCAGCAATAATCAAAGGTTGTGTCACTATTTAATTTATCCCCCTTTATCTCTGTCTTTTTCTTAACCGCTAAGTTTCTTATGTCGTTTTCTTTGTCCTACTTGTTTAGCCTATAAGATCTGTGCCTATAGGTTTTTTGGTAATGGCGTAATGGGAAACATGACGTCATGGAATTTAAAAAACGCCAAATCCAGCCAATCAAGAGCCAGGAATATTTAAAAACTGAATTTTAAAGTGAATCAAGAGCCGGGAATTTTCAAGAATTGAATTTTAAAGCCAATCAAAAGCCGAGAAAATTGGAAAAATTGAATTTTGAAGCCAATTAAGAAGCGGGAATATTCAAACATTGAATTTTGAAATGTCAAATTAGGCCAATCAAGAGCCGGGAATATTTGAAAATTGAATTTTAAAGAAAAAAGTTCTCGATACTTGAAACAGAAATTTGACATGTGTCAAAAAAAAATCACGTTTTTCGCTGTCAAACTGTCAATTTTTGACATATATCGATGTAATTTTTTTTTTTAGGATTTTTGGGTTTTTGGGGTCCTGGAGTCCTGGGATCGTTATCCGCCATTTTTTTTTTTTTTTTGAAAAACGGGAAATTGAAAAAAAAAACTTTTTTCACGTTGGCAGCTGTCAGAAAATTTTGATACTGACACATAGCTTATGATGACATATATCCGTCATGTACCGGGTTTGATGATCGTAGCTTGGGCACTTTCCAAAATTCACCGGTTTCTGAACCGGTGCAACACCGGTTTCTGAACCGGTGCAACACCGGTTTAATAGTTTACTCACCAAACGGTTCCAAAATGTACCGACTTTTTACCGGTTGAACCAGATCGTTCGTTCCAAAATTGACCGGAATGATCAGCTGTTTGAAACCGGTGAGGCACCAGATCCACCGGGAATTTTTGTCGGTTTTTTCGGTTGGAGATTTTTTGACATACATCAATTGCTTTGAATGGGCACTATCGGCAGTCGTTCGTTAAATTGTCACAACCAAATTTTAACACACCAAAGCGTTCCAAAATGCATCAGAAAAATCTTGTGACCGGACTTACACCTAACTTTTACAGGAATTTTTTGACAGCTACCGGTTTATTTAACCGGTCTATTTATCGGTGAAATTTGGAAAGTGCCCCTTGTATGGTAAAGCGGGGAGAAAGGCGAACGTGTGTCAGATTTGACAGGTGACATCTGTCAATATCACTAAAATGTCTTGCGTCAAAAATTTCATCCGAATGCGTCTTTCAAATTTGCCATATATGTCAAAAAAGATGTCAATGTCAAATTATTTTTTAGGATTTTTAGGGTCCGGGGAACGTTGTTAGGGATTCTTGCCCGAAATGGAACTTTTGGAGTAAGCTCCTTTGACTCCGTAAAGCCGAACAAGAACATTGTACTCTATTAACACTAAAAAGACATCAAGAAAGTACTTAGAGTACTCGGACACATTCTCACTTCACTAAACCAGCCTACTATTTTTACAAAATAATTTTCCAAAAACCTAATATAATCAATCATTTTTTTTTTAGTTTTCTACGAACCAACTGACGTATCAATAGCCAAACGCCCATTCACCGGAAAACACTGGCAAGCCATCAAATTCATCACACCGAACTTGACCGAACTCAAAGAAATCGCCTTTTGTTTGAACATCAACGTAAACCAAAACTTCTCAAATCGTCTAGAAGAAGCTTCAAATATCGCTCAAAAACTAGCTAAGCTAATCGAAAACGTTATAGTAACTTTGGGGCCTCAAGGGATTTTGATTGCGAGAAAAGGAGAAGCCAGTGATAGGTTTCTGAGTTCCAACCCAAACTCAGAAATCAGTGTCAGGCATTATCCTGCTCTAGGAATAAATGACTTCGTTAATGTCAGTGGAGCTGGGGATTGTTTTGCTAGCGGATTTATAACAGCATTATTGAAAAATTTGCCCGAAAACCAATGCGTTTCTGTAGGATTGGCAGCTGCTACAACTGCTCTTTATTCGCAATCGCCTGTTCCGAGTGAAATATTTGATTTTGCGCATAAATCTTGGAGAAAAGAAGCAGAATTTATTGAATTAAAATAGTTTGTATGTACTGTGTTTTATTTTTATTTGTGACGTAGTAAATTGAACTGGAGCTGTAATTGAACGCCCCAAAGCAGGAAGTGGTGCTCCGAACAGCACCAATAAACAAACCTATTACGACATTAAAAAGAGCAGCACTGATTTTTGAAAACGCCTTTTAACTCACTTGGCAACGTTGCATCCACGTCTTAAAAGCAAAGTGAGGTTATGTCAATTTACTTCTGTTCTGACATTTTGCTGATGTGTTTATTTTTATTATAAAATAAAAAATTCGTGTCCAGTTTTTTTCTCAATAAAAATAGCAACAAAATACATTAATTCACAATGGTAATTATTAAACAAATATCATTTCCACAAGCTAACCCATTATTTCCAGCCTCTGAGGTTAGATATCAAAAGAAAACTTACAGCCCGGTCTGATAGGGTAAAATGTGTAGACTTGCACCCCTCGGAGCCCTGGATGTTGTGCTCCCTCTACAGCGGAGTAGTAAACGTCTTCAACTTAGAAAACCAACAACTATTAAAAACTTTCGAAGTATGCGATTTGCCAGTTAGAGCAGCCAAATTTGTCCCGAGAAAAAACTGGATAGTTACAGGCTCTGACGATATGCAACTCAGAGTGTTCAATTATAACACTTTAGAGCGAGTGCACAAGTTTGAAGGGCACTCCGACTATATCAGATCAATTGTAGTGCACCCCACTCAGCCCTATGTCTTAACAAGCAGTGACGATATGTTTATTAAATTGTGGAACTGGGAAAAGGCCTGGGCTTGTCAGCAAGTATTTGAGGGCCATTCACATTACATCATGCAAATCGCTATTAATCCCAAAGACAATAACACCTTTGCCAGCGCCTCATTGGACAGGACTTTGAAGGTTTGGCAGTTAGGCTCCACTACTGCTAATTTTACATTGGAAGGGCATGAAAAGGGGGTAAATTGTGTGGATTATTATCACGGGGGCGATAAGCCTTATTTGATTTCTGGAGCTGATGATCGTTTGGTGAAGATTTGGGATTATCAGAACAAGACTTGCGTGCAAACTTTGGAAGGGCATGCTGAGAATGTTACTGCTGTTTGTTTTCATCCTGAGTTGCCAGTAGTTTTGACAGGTGAGTAATTTCAGTATATATCCTGTTCACAATTTGATGTCCACAGGTGCAGGTAAATTTATCACCTTTCCCTATCAAATAGCATTGAAATGTGATACATTTTACCTGTACCTGTGGGCATCAGATTGTGAACAGATAATAGAAGTAAGAGCTCATTGTAAGACTGGAAGCTAGTTACAAAAACACACTTGCACAGAATCAATTTATGTTAAGATAAGGCTCAAAGGACCAGTGTGCACGACAATACACATATTTTCAGGAAGATTTCAGTGAAATTTACTAGGTATAGTAGGTAAATGAAAAGCAATGTCTCAGGATTTATTCAAATTTTATAAAATCTTTAGATCCATATTTTAGAATTTTAATTTTCTATGTTCTGGTGTAAACATTCCCTGAAAGTAAATCTTAGACAAAATCCCTATCCATCTGTGTTTTAAATCATTTACTTCAGATTAATGACTGAGTTTACACCTGAATTTTTTCATTTTGAATCCTTTTGTTTTATACATACATACATAGGTAAGTAGTTCCTGTTCCTGAGGTATCAAATTTTCTTAATATTCTTGATATTTAATCTCATCAAGGGGCAAACCACCTAGGAATTCCGAGAGGAATTCTTTGCTAAAAATGTGGGGAATTTAGAGAGATACATAGAAATTTAGAGTAATTTGTTTGTGGGGAATTTGAATGAACTCATCCAAATTTATGAGAATTTGGGGAATTTATAGGGAATTTATGAGGAATTTAGAGGAAATTGTCAAATTTAAAAAATTCAAAAGAATAATAAATACAGTTTTTGTAGGCTGATTTCCAAGATTTTTCATGTTATATTTTTCGATTGAAAAAATTTGAAATTTTGGGAAAATGAGCTTCTCACCTTCTTCTTTAGATGCAAAATGTTTCAATTTTCTCCCTTCACTAGTTTTCCAGGAAAACTTTGAAATGTGTGAGACTGTATGTTCAACTAATTCAGTTTGTTTAGGTTGATTTCCAAGATTTTTCATGTTGCTGTTTTTCACCAAAAAAATTTAAAATTTTGAAAAAATGAGCTTTTCACCTTCCTCTTTACATTCAAAAAATTTCAAAATTTTCCTTTTGCTAATTTTCCAGGACAATTTTGGAATGTGTGAGACTGTATTTTCAACTAATTCAGTTTATTTAGATTGATTTCCAAGATTTTTCATGTTGTTGTTTTTTACTGAAAAAATTTGAAATTTTGGGAAAATAAGTTTCGCACCTCCTTCTTTACATGCAAAAAATTTCAAAATTTTTTCTTTCCTAGTTTTCCAGGAAAACTTTAAAATGTGTGAGACTGTATTTTCAATTATTTCAGTTATTGTAGGTTGATTTCCAAAATTCTTCATATTGCTGTTGTCGCACCTTCTTCTTTACATGCAAAACGTTCCAAGATTTTCCCTTCGGTAGTTTTCCAAGAAAACTTTGAAATGTGTGAGACTGTATTTTCAACTAAGTAATTCAGTTTTTGTAGGTTGATTTCCAAGAGTTTTCATGTTGCTGTTTTCCACTGGAAAAATTTGAAATTTTGGGAAAATGAGTTTTTCACCTTCCTATTTACATGCAAAAAGTTTCAAAATTTTCCCTTCTCTAGTTTTTCAGGAAAACTTTGAAATATGTGAGACTGTATTTTCAATTAATTCAATTATTGTAGGTTCATTTCCAATATTCCTTATGTTATTTTCCACTGGAAAAATTTGAAATTTTGGGAAAATGAGCTTTTCACTTTCCTCTTTACCTACATGCAAAAAGTTTCAAAATTTTCCCTTCATTAGTTTTCCAGGAAATCTTTCAAATGTGTGAGACTGTATTAGCAATTAATTCACATATTGTAGGTTGATTTCCAATATTCCTTATGTTGTTATTTTCCGCTGGAAAAATTTGAAAAAAAATTTTTTCAGAAGAATTTGTGGGGTAGGTATTTGGAGAAGTTCGTGGTGGGCTATTTGGAGGAATTTGTGATGGGGTATCTGGAGGAATTTGCAGTAATCTTGAGGAGTTATGCGTAAAAAATTTCCCTTTGAGGAATTGTTTGCACCAATTCTGGGATGGTGGTTTACCCCTTGAGTTTTCCTGGTGTGATTTTCAACTATATTTCTGAACACTTGAACTCACACATACACATTATTTGGCAAAATTCAATTTTATCGCCCCATATATCATAACCCACTGGTCCTACGATAAATCTACAGCAAGCTTTATTCGGAAAAACAGGTTAATAAAATCCACAAACCGCGTTAAAAAACACTTTATTTGTGTCAAAAATATGAAACTTTGTCTAGAAATCTGTATATGTGAAAGTTCGAGTGTCCATCAGTTTAGTTTTTCTGTCACCTTTAACATAAAGGACAATAAGCTGATCGGTCTGTACGACCTGGGGTCGTATTTTCGAATATTCTCGCATACGAAATTTGATACGATCCCCATTTAATTTACATTGCTATCAATCCAATTTTGTATAAGAAATGTACTCGAATGAATTCGAAAATACGACCCCTGGCCCGAGATGGATCTCTACCAGGTTTTGGGATAAACCGCTTTTACTTCTTTCTAAAACCCAGGGATATAGCCTGTTGCCAGTCGTTTGGTAGTTCATCATATAGTTTTAGTCCTTTATTGCCATTACCAAATTGTTTCCCAATGAATCTCTCCATTTTGCTAGCACTGTCTGTAGTGCACTCTCCACGAATTTTTTATTCTAAAATTCGCCTGGAAACACGCCAAAATTTTGTTATTTTCTACATAATTTGCAAGTTGACTATTGACAACAAGTTCCAAGAGTTTTTCATAGGTGGGAACCATGTTTATTGGACGATAGTCCTGGCATAATTTGGAATTATTTTTCTTTTCTATAGGTATGATAGAGAATGTACATCTACACTGCTTGTTTTATTATTCATATCCTTCACAATTTTCTTTAGGGCCGGTTTATTCACCTTCTGATAAACTGTCAGGTATGCAAACTGTCGGATAATAAGTTGACAATTTCTATACTTTAAGCTATTTACAACGCAATATACAAATAGCATTGCTTGCCTTCTCCTTCGCTGTACCAATGATTCAAACTCAAAGCTGTCTAACATTGATTTATAGGAGACCATATTATATGGATACGCATTATTTTTTCTAACATTATTGTATCTCAAAAATCGCTTTTGAACTTTTTCAATATAATCTATATGCGTGATTGCACTTGGCGTCCAGACTGGAAATGTATATTCCAAATAAGGCCTCACAAGGGAATAATATCCCCACCTCATAGAACTTTGATAAGCTAATATTAATGTCATGATACTCGACAAGATCCTATGACAAGATCTGACCAATGACAGTTTTTAACAGAATTATACAAATGAAGGTAGTTCGCTTTAGTGAAATTATGTTCATATTTTTTTGTTAACTTTACCTCTTCCTTGGCAAATCCAGTCATTATGTGAAGACACAGAGCAGGGTGATATAATATATCCTCTGACTCTGACACTAATGGACTCTCTGACTTATGGACATTTACACCTTGTATATTTGTAACAAGTAAATCCAGTAATCCATATTGTACCTTATAATATTGATCTATGCAAGATTGTTTATAGTCTCACGATGGTATTTATTTTAAAAGATTTACTGTTTCGTATAATAAAACCTAGTGCCTTGATAGCTTGGCTACTAGACCCAACATAATGATCTGTAAATTTCATACTGGACTGTAAATGGACACCCAGGTCCTTTACTTCGCTTAATCTGACAAGGTTTTCTCCACCTTCACAATAGTCAAACTGGCCATAGGCACTTTTGCGAGTATACATCATAACTGAATATACTCATAACTGTTACGACTTCTCTAAACATTTTGAAATTATCTGGAAACAACAAGAATTACGACTCAGATTACTGCCCTGAGGAACACCCGATGCTGCTACATAGCTTCTAGAATAACCTCTACCTATCTTTACCTTCTGATTCCTATCTTACAATCAAGAATATGTATAGCCAACCTGATACTCCATACGTTATAAGTCTATTCAAAAAAAATTTCATGACTGACCTTGTCGAATGCCTTCTCGCAGTTTGTATAAATGACATCAAGTTGGTTTTTTTCGTCGATTGATTTTGCAGTATATTCAGACAATATGCTGAGATTAGTAACAGTTGACCTGTCAGTCCCAAAACCATGTTGGTACACACTAAGTTCAGGGTGCAAACCTTCATACAGCCTATCAAACAACAATTGTTCGAAAATTTTCTCTATAACATTTAATAAACTCTCGAATAAACTAATTGGTTGATAGTTTTTAACATAATTTTTCTTATAAATTGGAGTTATGACTGTTTCCTTTAACATTGATGGAAATTTATTTTGTGTTATTGCTAGGTTGAATACATGCTCAAGTGGTCTAGCCAAAAATTCAGCCAAACCCTTATAGATGAAAAGTGGTATACTATCACTACCGGTTGACTTTTTTTGGTTTCAGCCTTTTGATGCTGTTTATAACATCTTGCTTGCTTATAGGACAGAGATTGAGACTGAGACCACTCCAGTCACAACCTAACTGTGACTGCGTGCCTTTTGAGTCCCCAGGCAGTTCATACACCGATTCAAAAAAGTGCGCAAATGCATTTTAGGAGAATGATACACACATACCTAAGACATTGTATTTTAAAGTATCTATTATGGTCTCTATTCCTATTACCCACATATTTGAATCAATTACAGAGCTGAGTATTTGTTTTGTTTTAATTTCATCTTTTATACAGGGTGGATGGCGTATTAGACGTTTATGGAGAACTCAAAAGCAGATCATTCTGAAAATTTGGCAACCGGGATAAACAACCATAATCTACACTTTTAAAATATTTTTGTTTATGCGGTGTTGCCGCTTCTACTCTAAACCAGTGGCACCATCGCTATTTTAAATGGAACACCCTGTATGTGATTGCATATTTGGATTCTAGGTATAATTCTGAGCAGATTTCATGTATACTATACCTAAGTTCAACTGTTTTGCAAGTATTGACAGTTGAAAATTGACTTTTTGCAACTTTGACAGGCTGTAAAACCTAAACGGTTAATTTGAGAGGAAAATCGATTTTACATTCTCTCTCTTAAATTTTCATAAACTATCATTTGACACCAACTTTGATTTTAACCGAAGATTAAATTTAATTATTGGAATTTTTAATCATGGATTAAATTGATAGTTGGAGTCAAATGATAGTTTATAAAAATCTAATACAGGAATGTAAAATCGGTTTTCCTCTAAAATTAACCGTTCAGGCTTTACAGCCTGTCAAAGTTGCAAAAAGTCAATTTTCAACTGTTAATATTTCCAAAACAGTTGAACTTAGGTATAGGGTTTATCACCAGTAGAATCCAAATATGCTATCACATAAAGGGTGTTCCATTTGAAATAGCGATGTTGCCAGTGGTTTTGAGTGAAAACGGCAATACCGCATAAACAAAAATATTTTTAAAATTAAGGTTATGGTCGTTTATCCCGGTTGCCAAAATTTCAAAATGATCTGTTTTTTAGTTCTCCATAAACGTCTATTACACCATCCACCGTGGGACACCCTGTATATTTAGATCATACTGCCACATGTATGCCTACTTTTAGAATAAGCACTGTATTTGTATTTATTTCCTTCCATTTGTTTTTCATTTTCTTGTTTTTTGTTACATGACTTTCTGATAAGCTGCTAAGCTATCAGTTCCTGTTCCTATTGATTGAGCAGCCAGTTTAACTCTATTTTATGTACAAGAAGACTGTATATTTAGGTACATTTCCAACCCCCATGCAAATTACATTGACTCAAACCTCGTAGAAATATGAAAAACTCAATGACATCAAACCACAGATAGACGGAACAATTAACAAAATTTCCGTATGACAACATCTCTGTGTCTCTTTTGTGCCTTTGTGCTAGCCCCACTACTGAGAATGCCAAATTTTGTCTCGAATTCTTAAATAATATATTTTCCTTCTTTTCTAATTAACGTATTCAATTTTATTTCTGAACTGCATTTGGCAACAGCGGATTGTAGCTAAACGCCCTCAGAAGCGGCCTGTTCGATGGCAGGTAGGTGTTCAGTGGCGGACTGGCTAGGTCGGCAATTCGGCAAATGCCGACTGGGCCACCATTTCTTAGGGACCCTCGTTTGTGTAATCGCATATAAAAATATGGTCTAAAAATAGTCGCGGAAACTCGGAATCGTTGTATCCACTATCTCGCAACGGCCCTAGGGAGTTGAACTCTCGACCAATCCCACTTTCGTCAGTGTTTAGGCCATTCGGAATGTTGGGCAAAACTCTTGAGCTTCTCCAACAAAATGTTAGATAACAGAACCGAACGGCGACTCGTCTTGTTCAAACGAATACTTTGGCTATAGAGGGTGCTATGTCTTAACAGTCAAAGGTTTTGTCCTGACCAGTTGAGCAGAACAGCAGGACCACTGCATCGCCACTATCGCAGAATTCTGGGCAACGAGGCGAATGCTGGCTCCATAAAGCTGAGAGGATGTGAAAGCTCGAGTTCGTACCTTAACTTGGAAGGGAATTCATGACCCCGAACACAAGGAGTATTGTGCATGTAGACTACATGGATGTACTGGTGAAATCTGGCGCATAAGTCACAATCCCAGCTTTTGGACAACGGGGCAAATAATAGATAATTGATATGTAGTAGGCTTAGCAGACGGTGACACGCGTCTCGAGAAACGTTGCTTCTGGTCTTAAAGGGGGCGTGACCCAAAAATAAAGGTTTTAGAAAAAGAAATCCAAGAACCAATTTTCAAACCGCACTAGGTTTCTACCAACCGTTGCGAACATACCGACACTCCTAGCACTGTGACGTCATATGCACAAACTGTGTTCGCTGGTCGGCGATGGGCGCGTGTTTGCTCATGCTTGTCGTATATTATCGACATTGGCGTATTGTTTTTGCGTTCTCACTCGTATCAATACGTCAGTTTAAATAGGTTTTGTAACTTTGGCGTGTGATTATGACGTCACGCAAGACAAGTTGTATTTTAAGGTTGCACCCCCTTGTGCATAACCACGTCCGACGGGGTAGATAACTAGTGTTTCTGTGCACGTAATTTGTCCATTACGCCCAAGTGTTGGGGATCATCACACTATACAAGCATCACAAGAGCTTGGTGGTAGCCTCGAAACAATTTATATGCGACGTTGCAATTTTTGGCATTTTCATGTTGGGACTGGAATCAGCGCCTCGGCACGCCACCACAGTTTTTTATCATTATTATCCCTGCCTTTCGAGTTTACAGAGAATATAATAACCTTTTATAATTTGATTGTATAAATAAATATATAAATAATTTTTTTCTACCAGCAAACACTGCCTTTTGGTTGGAATGGAACTGGAAAGTCGTTTGTTCTCCCACAGGGCGGAAAATTTTTTCATATCAAATTCGAAAAAAAAAATAGTTATTTTTCTAACAAGTGCGGGAAATACCATTTCTTGTAAGTGTTAGAAACACAATTTTTCCCAAGGGCCTGCAGAAAGATTACTCTTTAGTCTTTGTGCATGCCAAAAGTTTTTTTTTCAGCACATTCGTAGGAAAAAAACGGATCATCTTTGCTTCAGGTGTCCAGAAAATGGCAGTATCCTGTTTTAAATCCCCAGTAGGACTGCTCATTGAGCTGAAAGCTAAAAGTGTCTGCCAACTTTTTTTCTAATTAATTTACAATCGCTAAGGAACAAACTTGATGATTTATATCTGCTGTTGGAAGATAACAATTTTCCAGCTATCTTACTTATAACTGAGCATTGGTTAGCAGAAAATGAACCATTTTGTATTGAAAATTATACTCTGATGTCTCTCTATTGTAGAAATAGTAAAACTCATGGTGGAACTGCTATTCTTGTCAATAAGACATTTTTACAATCTTTAGATGTTACCCCCATAACAAAGTTTAATACCCTTTTAATTGAAAATGTTTTTGAATTCTCCTTGTTATATAACAAAAAAAATAATTTATATATTTTGTGTATATACAGGCCCCCCTATTATTCAAACTTAAAGCAATACTTTGAAAATCTTGAAATTCTTTTATCAAAACTGCCACCCAAGGCAGGTTTGATACTAGGGGGAGACCTTAATATAAATTTTGATGATGACAGATCAGAGGCACAGCGAATTCTGTCTAACTTGTTTTTATCATTTGACCTAGAGATGTATGTTAACGAACCTACTAGAATAACTGTTCAAATGTTTGCTTTGCCGTTAAACGGGTTACAAAAAGTAGTTATAGAGCGGTAACGAAATGTTCAGGGGAATGTTAGGATACGGGAATATGATCAGCGATATTCAATATTAACCAGCCAGAAAGTCACCAGGATTGGGACTCGATATTTTCTCTATCTCTATTTACGTCCTCTCTCTATTGATTTCGAAATGAGAAAAGAAGACAGCAATTGGCATGCCGCATAGTGAAAGGAATAACGATCTGTTACAGAGTCCTAGCCCAGACTATTTGATGACCAGTTTATCGGTGGAAGGTTATCTAGTTTAGCTGTCAGTTAACCAATGATAATTATCAGTTAACCAACAGCTAAAATAACCGTTCACGAAACCGGTCCTGAGAAGGATAGTTTTCGATAAGTAGAAATGTTAGAATAACAAACCAAATTGCTATACCAAAGGAAAAGCTAGGTCACTTATAGTTATTGAACTTTCTATGAAAATATCATAAATATCACATTGGATATACAGTAGAACCTTGATTATTCGAGATAACGTGGGGTGAGGGGGGCACCCACCTCAAATAATTGAAAATTCGGATAATCCAAATCTACATAAGTATATGTTTATGTAAAGTCTGTCGATTTTAATCTGATACTTCAAAAAAATGTAAGCTGGTGGCTCCCTACATTAAAATTCCAATGGTCACCTGACATCACACCTGTTTTTGTTATAGGCGTCACCCTCTCAGTCCTCATACGGAAAGTGTCAAATTAAAAACGACAGATATGTATATTTTAGAAACTCGGTTAATACAAAGTTTAGACGTGCGTACCTAAGATAATCAGGGTTTTTGAGTATTTAGACTGGCTTGGTTAATCTAGAGCTCTGATAATAATCGCGACTCGGATAATCGGGGTTCTACTGTATATCCGATACCTATATATCATAATTTTTGCACCCTGGTGGTTACCAAACCATTCCTGGGACAGTTTCTTGACGTGTTGGAACAGACCTGATAATAATTATTTCAAACACTACACAAGTTTCAATAAGAAATTACTCTAAAAAATCAGATATCTATCCTCTAATAAATATTTTTTTTTTTAAATTAAATTCATCAGGTAGTGAAGATGGTACCGTTCGCGTCTGGCACGCCAACACCCATCGCCTAGAAAGCAGCCTGAACTACGGTTTCGAACGAGTCTGGACCATCACTTGCCTGAAAGGCTCCAACAACGTGGCCATAGGTTACGACGAAGGCAGCATAATGGTAAAAGTGGGCCGGGAAGAACCTGCCGTCAGCATGGACGTCAATGGCGGCAAAATCATCTGGGCGCGGCACTGCGAATTACAACAAGCAAACCTAAAAGCCCTGCCTGAAGGCGGCGAAGTCCGAGATGGTGAAAGACTTCCTGTTGCCACCAAAGATATGGGGGCTTGCGAGATTTATCCTCAATCAATCCAGCATAATCCTAATGGAAGATTTGTGGTTGTTTGCGGAGATGGAGAATATATTATATACACTGCAATGGCTTTGAGGAATAAGGCTTTTGGTAGTGCACAGGAGTTTGTTTGGGCTCAAGACTCTAGCGAGTATGCCATCAGGGAATCTGGTTCTACTATTAGAATTTTCAAAAATTTCAAAGAAAAGAAACAGTTTAAATCTGAAACTTCTGCTGATGGGATTTTTGGTGGCAATCTTTTAGGGGTAAAATCAGTGGCGGGGCTTAGTTTTTACGATTGGGAATCGTTGGAGTTAGTGAGGCGTATTGAAATCCAACCCAGAGCTGTTTATTGGTCAGAAAATGGCAACTTAGTTTGTCTGGCAACAGAGGAAAGCTACTACATTTTATCTTTTGATGTGGAGCAAGTGCAAAAAGCCAGAGAAAATAATGAAGTCGCAGAAGACGGTGTAGAGTCTGCTTTTGAGGTTTTAGGCGAAATAAACGAGAGTGTGCGTACAGGGCTTTGGGTTGGGGATTGTTTTATTTATACGAATGCAGTGAATCGTATAAATTATTTTGTTGGAGGGGAGTTGGTTACTATAGCGCACTTGGACAGGCCTTTGTATGTTTTGGGGTACGTGCCCAAAGATGATAGACTGTACTTAGCTGACAAGGAATTAGGAGTTGTCAGTTATCAACTGTTATTGTCGGTAAGTGTATTTTTTCTAAATATTAACAATCCTACTGTATACTACTATTGATTATTATACAAGGTGTTACAAATTTGGTTCTAAAATCTGGCATCTAAATAATTGACATTGATATAAATACTTCATTAATAAAAAAATGCCAGACGGTTTGGGGAATGGGGTCAACTTGCAAGAGATCATTGTATTTTATTCCATTATTTGCTGGACTGTCTGCTTTCGGAACACTTGGGGGAGCTGCCGGTATAGCTAAATTCTAAATCAACTTTCTCGCGGAAAAGTATACATTTATGATTAATTTTAATATGTTAAGGGCCAGTTTCACAAACAGTGGTAACCACAAGACACTGGTAACCTACAATATATCTGTTTCATAATCTATGGTTCAGCCAAAACCATTGATCCAAGCTTCAGAATTTTCAATGTAGTCTATGGAACTATGAGTTTAATAACCAGTGTTTTATCTTAAGGTCTATGAAACAATGTCTTTTTAGGTTCTCGAATACCAAACAGCTGTAATGCGTAAAGACTTCACCACAGCCGACAGAGTCCTACCGTCAATCCCCAAAGAACATCGAACCCGTGTAGCTCATTTCCTGGAAAAACAAGGCTTCAAGCAACAAGCCTTGGCAGTTTCCAGCGATCCAGAACATCGTTTTGAGCTGGCAGTAGCTTTAGAAGATTTAACTACAGCCAGAGCATTAGCAGTTGAAGCTAACAATCCACAAAAGTGGAGCCAACTTGGTGAACTGGCTGCTGGTACCAACAATTTGCAATTGGCCAAAGAATGTATGCAAAAGGCCCAAGACTACGGTGGACTTTTGCTGTTGGCTACAAGCTCTGGAGATAAAACGATGGTGCAATATTTGGCCAAAACTACGCAACAAGAGGAGAAATATAATTTGTCCTTTTTGTCCTACTTGCTTATAGGCGATTTACAAAAGTGTTTGGATATTTTAATTGAGACTGGACGGTTGCCGGAGGCTGCCTTTTTCGCCAGGTCTTATTTGCCCGATAAAATATCCGACGTTGTCACTTTGTGGAAAGAAAAATTGGCTCAGACCAATGAGAAGGCTGCTCAAAGTTTGGCGGATCCTAAACAATATGAAAATCTTTTCCCAGGTAACTATTTTCACACTTTTTTTTTTTTTGGAAAATTATATCGCTATCCTTCTTTCTCTTGTTCTATAAGTGAAATCAAGATATTTTTCTTGAAATTTATAAATTAAATTATTGTCACAATCTAAACATCTTCATCATGTAGTGTACTATTATTGCATCATTTAGACTGTGATTTTCTTTCTATTTTTATTTTTTATTATTTTTCAATTTATTTTCACATTTTAACTTTTTCTTTCTTAGAAAATTATGTTGCTATCCTTCTTTCTCTTGTTCTATAAGTGAAATGATACTTTTCTTGATAAATTTTCACATTTCAATTTTTTTATGTTTTTTTCTTTATTGGAAAATTATATTGCTATCCTTCTTTGTCTTGTTCTATAAAAGAAATGAAGATATTTTTATTGAAATTGATAAATCAAATTATTGTCACAATCTAAACATCCTGATCATGTAGTGTACCATTAATGCATCGTTTAGACTGTGATTTATTTTATTTTTTTTCATTTTTATTTCTATTATTTTTCAATTTATTTTCACATTTCAATTTTTTTCTTATGTTTTTGCTTCTTAGAAAATTATATTGCTATCCTTCTTTCTCTTGTTCTATAAGTGAAATGAAGATATTTTTCTTGAAATTGATAAATCAAATTATTGTCACAATCTACAACATTACTACAACAACTACATTTATCATGTAGTATACCAATCTTAATGTAACTGCCCTAAAACACATGGAATTTACTCTTTTTATTCGTAGTTCCTTTAGAACCGGTTCCAAATCGACTCTGAACTGATTCTAATTTGGAATAGGTTTGTTCGGACTCAGTTTAAAATCCGTTCTGAATTAAAATATTCTTACGCATTTGTTCATATTCAACATACCTTCTGAACAAATCCATTATTGTTACGATGTTCCAAACACATTGAATCGTTCGCAGTTCATTTAGAACCGGTTCATATAATTTTTGAACAGGTTCTCAGAGTTCGGAGTAGTTCGATTGCTGTTCTAAACTAGAGAAAATCATGAACTATACGGTGCACGAGAATCCTAAATTAATGTCCTGGATCACATTAACAATTCATTTAGAACCAGTTAGAGATTATTTCAGAATTGATTTTTAGAGTTCTGAGTGCTACAAAAGCTGTTCCGAAATCGAAATAAACTAAACTAAACTGTACTGGAGCACATCGATTGTTCGTAATTCAATTAAAACCTGTTCCGAATAGATCTTGAAGTATTGAACTGGTTCACAATCGAGCAATCTTTAATTTATGCTGGTGCAACTAGAATCAGTTCCAAATCGGCTTTATTGTTTTTAAACCCAAAAATCTGTTCCGAACTTGTTTGTTTTTTTACTCTTCAATATTCGAACTTACTCTATTTACTTCAAAGGAGTAAAAAAAAAACAATCTTGAACGATTTGCTTACTCAGAGCACTCGAAATATGGCAAATAGAGTAATTATGTTCATGTTTGAGGAGTATAAGGAGCAAAATAAATATAACTTTTTAATGAATAAACCTACTCTATTTACTCTTAAAGATTCGTACGAGTAAACAGAGTTAAATTTAGTGCACTAAAACGAGAATCTTAGACCAAATGGAGTAACTTGCCTGATTAGTTTCGAACAATCAAACATAAAAAAACCTACACTGGATTCAAAATTAGTGTTCTAGAGGCAACAATAAACAGAATTTGAGGGAAAAATATCCGACAAACTGTCAAATTTTGACGTTAGAATCGATTCTTGCTCTGACAATTATTACTCTAATTACTCTAAAATTTTTTTTAGTGAAAAACTTTTTTAGAGTGACGCCAGTTTTAAAAACAATGTTCCGACTCTACTCCAACATTTCAAATATCTACTCTAAGAGTCCGTATTATTTTGAATAGAAGTAACTTCATTATTTTTGACATTTCTATTCATCTTATATCAAAACGAATAGAATTTTTTTACTCCGATCATTAAGCCAACAAAACTAGAGTTAAAAGTGCATACTTTTACATACATAAATTTTACAAGTGAGCCTTGAGCAAAAAAGTCGGCAGCGCGTTTACGAATAATATTCTTTTTTGATTCTGTTTGTTTTCGGAGCAAACGGAGCATGTTTGAACATTAAACTCCAAAAGATTTATTTCAAAAATGGTAGCAACTCTTTTAACACCTTTCACTCTAAAACTCTTCGGGTTTGGATATTGGAGCAAATAGTGCAAGTTCCTTTTTTTTTTATTGGAGTGAAAGGAGGCAAAAATACTGATGGAGTACTTGGAGTGAATAAGTCGGCTTCAACTTTGGTGTAACTTTTCTAAGATTTTAATTTTATAGTTGCACCAGAACAAGTTTCTTGGAGTAAACTCCATTTACTCCACACCGCCAAATGTAAAAGTGGTTACTCTTTTTACTCTAAAAAGCCGTGCTCAAATGGTTGGAGTGATAATTAGAGTGCACTGATTGAGTAAAGAGTTCTGGCATGGTATTCTTTTTGAATGTACGGCGTAATTGGAGTAAACAAATTAAATCTAGTGCAGCACTCTGTGTCACAAATACAAATGACTCGAACCTGTTCAACTCGCCCTCGCCTCCATAGTCTAAACCCAAAAATTGAATATTTGCGGTTATGGAACAGTTGGTGTTATCGAATTTCAGATATTTTGCACTAAGTTTGCTCCATTTAAATTCACACTAAAGTGTCAAAATTCAAATTAAAAAAAAAAAATTTGAACTGGAACTTTTGGAGTAAGCTTCATTTTACTCTACTCCGTATGACCATATCACTTTTTTTACTCTAAAAAGTCGTACCCGAACGGTTGGAGTAATTAGAGTTCACTGAATTAGCAAACAGTTCAAGAATGGTACGCTGATTAAACCAAGTTCTTAGACTTGGTAGAAAATAGAATAGTTCTTAAATAATCTAGAACTCGATTTATATAAAATTGTTGGGATTTGTGAAACAAAATGTGATTGTTCTAGAATATACTAGAGTAAGTGCAGATGAAAACAGCATAGAACAGTTTTGGAACTGTTTAGGTCGATGATTCGGAACAAACAAATCATTCCCAGAACAGTTCTAAATCCATCTTCATTTCAGCGCAGTTTACTCTAGAACCATTCTAGAACAATTTGGGAATAACTTCTGACCTAAAATAATGTCCTAGTGTAGGAAGAGTAATGGAACAAAACAATGTAAACTCCATTCACTCCACTCCGCCAAATGTAAAAGTAGTTACTCTTTTTACTCTAAAAAACCGTGCTCAAATGGTTGGAGTGATAATTAGATCGCACTGATTGAGTAAACAGTTCTGGCATGGTATTTTTTTTGAATGTTCGGAGTAGTTGGAGTAAACAAATTAAATCTAGTGCAGCACTCTGTGTCACTTAGAGTAACACTTTTTGCACGGTGAAATACAAATGACTCGAACCCGTTCAACTTGCACTCGCTTCCATAATCTAAACCCAAAAATTAAATATTTGCGGTTCTGGAACAGTTAGTGTAATCGAACTTCAGATATTTTGCACTAAGTTTGCTCCACTTAATTTCACACTAAAGTGTCGAAATTCAAATTAAAAATCCTAATTTTTGAACTGAAACTTTTGGAGTAAGCTTCATTTTACTCTACTCCGTATGACCATATCACTTTTTTCACTCTAAAAAATCGAACCCGAACGGTTGGAGTAATTAGAGTTCACTGAATTAGGAAACAGTTCATTCCTGAACTGTTTCCTAATTGACGCTAATGGTACGCTGATTTAACCAAGTTCTTAGATTTGCTAGAAAACAGAACAGTTCCTAAACAATCTAGAACTCGAAATAATATGAAATTTTTGGGATTTGTCAAACAAAATGTGACTGTTCTAGAATATACTAGAGTAAGTGCAGATGAAAACAGCATAGAACAGTTTTGGAACTGTTTAGATCGATGATTCGGAACACACAAATCATTCCCAGAACAGTTCTTAATCCACCTCCAGTTCAGCGCAGTTTACTCTAGAACAATTCGGGAATAACTTCTACCCTAAAATAATGTTCTAGAGTAGGAAGAGTAATGGAACAGCTCCAAAACAATAAGAAATTTAATTTATATGAGGATTCTGAGAGAAAATATGACTGTTCTGAAACATTTTGTATATTCAGAGCTGTTCTCAAACGATTTAAGAACAATGGAGTCTGTTCTAGATAAAACAGTTTTAAAATAAATTGGAACTCGATTTACATCAAATTTTTCGGATTTGTGGGATGAAATATTGTTCTAGAATAATCTGGAGTAGGTGAATATTGGAGCGAATAGTGCAACCTTCGTAAATATTTACTGTTCTGGAGCAGTTATTTCAATCGAACATATTTATCTTATGTCAATAAGAAGAGAATTTTTTTACTCCGATCATTAAGCTAACAAAATTAGAGTTAAAAGTGCATACTCTAGAATCTCCTATTTCTATATCGAAACTAATGAAATCGCCTAATAGCGATTCGGAACAGTTTTTTAATCACTTTGGAGTAAAAAGAGCAAAATTTTATAAGTGAGTCTGGAGCAGCGCGTTTACGAATAATACTCCTTTTTGATTTTGTTTGTTTTCAGAGCAAACGGAGCATGATTGAACATTGAACTCCAAAAGATTTAATTAAAAAATGGTAGCAACTCTTTTGACACCTTTCACTCTGATACTCTTCGGGTTTGGATATTGGAGCAAATAGTGCAAGTTCCATATTTTTTATTGGAGTGAAAGGAGTAACTTTTCTAAGATTTTAATTTTATAATAGTTGCACCAGAACAAGTTTGTTGAACTAAACTCCATTTACTCCGCTCCGCCAAATGTAAAAGTAGTTACTCTTTTTACTCTAAAAAGCCGTGCTTGCTAAAAAGATAAAACAGTTTTAAAATAAATTGGAACTCGATTTACATCAAATTTTTCGGATTTGTGGGATGAAATGTTGTTCTAGAATAATCTGGAGTAGGTGAATATTGGAGCGAATATTGCAACCTTATTTACTGTTTTGGAGCAGTTATTTCAATCGAACATATTTATCTTATGTCAATAAGAAGAGAATTTTTTTACTCTGATCATTAAGCTAACAAAATTAGAGTTAAAAGTGCATACTCTAGAATCTTCTATATCTATATCGAAACTAATGAAATCGCCTAATAGCGATTCGGAACAGTTTTTTAATCACTTTGGAGTAAAAAAAGCAAAATTTTATAAGTGAGTCTGGAGCAGCGCGTTTACGAATAATACTCCTTTTTGATTTTGATTGTTTTCAGAGCAAACAGAGCATGATTGAACATTGAACTCCAAAAGATTTAATTAAAAAATGGTAGCAACTCTTTTGACACCTTTCACTCTGATACTCTTCGGGTTTGGATATTGGAGCAAATAGTGCAAGTTCCATATTTTTTATTGGAGTGAAAGGAGTAACTTTTCTAAGATTTTAATTTTATAATAGTTGCACCAGAACAAGTTTGTTGAACTAAACTCCATTTACTCCGCTCCGCCAAATGTAAAAGTAGTTACTCTTTTTACTCTAAAAAGCTGTGCTTGCTAAAAAGATAAAACAGTTTTAAAATAAATTGGAACTCGATTTACATCAAATTTTTCGGATTTGTGGGATGAAATGTTGTTCTAGAATAATCTGGATTATAATAATAACATAATAACAATGCATTGTTTAGACTGTGATTTATTTAAATTATTCAGGTCTCACTGAAGCTATAGCTGCGCAGAAAATCTTTGAAAAAACCGACCACCAAGTGCCAGCTCTCCAAGCGACAAAAGTAGTTCCAAATTATGAGAGAAACCTCATTGCCGAATATCAAAAATCAGGTCAAACTTCTACTAGTCAACTACTGCCCCCTAGCGTGACGTCATTGCAACAAGAAGATGATGACGATGACATTGATTTAGATTTAGACGGTGTCAATTTGGATGACAATATTGACACAACGGTAATAATAGGCAATTTATTATGTGTCATACTCCCTAAACTCCTCCACCATCAAATTCTGGGATACTCGAGGATCAACAACACTTAATTTATTCTGGAGAACAGACCGAAAAATCACCTTTTCTATATTTAAAATCGACGAAAAAATTAGCTCAATAGCAAGAATTCCATTGGGGTCTGCGGGTGACGTCATCACTCTGCTGATAGTGACGTTACTCGCATGCCCAGAATTTGATGGAGAGAGAGTTAGGGGAGTATGACACATCATATTCTAGTGATGAAATTTATTATTAATAATAACTTTTGTTTTAGGACATAAATATTGATGATGATCTTCTCAGCGACTAAAAAATAGCCCCCCACCAAGTGGACTTATTATAATTTTTAGTATTAATATTCATTCCTCTTGAATAAAAATTAATTTGTATATTATTTTTTAAGCTTAATATTTTGTTTTCTTGTAAATAAAAATCTATAGAACAGAAATTTTCAATATAACCTACCCAAGGTTCCTAAAGTTAATAGGTAACTTGATGATGTAATCTGGGGTGCGTTATGGGAATTGAGGCACCCCAGATGACATCATTCAAACCTACCTAGTGAAAAGAAAAAAAAAATTAAAACAGTAAAATATATTTTCGCTACTACAATTATTTACAACAATGAGACATTTTGTTTTATAAAACTACATTAACATTTAATAAAAAAAGCGCACTTTTTGTATAAATATTGACTAACGTTGACTAATAAGCATTTTCAAACTTAACAAATAATTATTATTGTCAATTGCACTTGGTGTAACATCTAGCCCGTAATCCTGTATTCAATTATACCAAAGAATTCCTGCGTATTTTAACCAAAGAAGTCCTAATCATGTCCCTGATATTATCGTAAGTCGAGTAACTAATCCCCACCGCTATTGGTCCTTTAATCCAATTCATAGTTAGTCCTTTGTAAAAGCCCTTCCTTATTCCCTCAGTCCTGATATATGCATCAAATTAGACAATGAAAAATTATTAATAATTGCTTACCTATAAACATATAAAATTGTTTGGTGCATGTTTGGGTATTTTCCAGTTGTATCAGTTTGCATCCTTCTTCTAACTATGTCCAATGGGTAGCTTGTGCTTTGTCCTAGTACTCCGGCAATGGCTCCGGATAGCATTGAAGCCATTGGATGGATCATATAGGCATTATTTATATGCTCTATAAAAAGAAATATATGTATTGAAATGTGTTTTAAATATTGTGAACTATTACCTCTGTAAAGCATTTTTAATGTGTCATAAGTGAAAAACGACATGCCAGCATAAAGACTGACACCAGCCATTGTAGGTATGAAGCCTCTCCAGAAGGCACTGACACCTTCTAGGGAGTATATTTTTTGGAAGACCTGGAATAAATGGAACTTGTATTAAATGAACTGTAGAGTAGGAGTAGGAGAGTGTATTTTATAGAAGAATAATTTCAATTTTTAACATTTAGTGTTACGAATTTTTTACCAATGAAAATAGAAATACTTTTAGAATAAAAAGGGGAAGTTGAGGAGCTCATAATATCAAAACTTCAAAGTGATCCAGTGAAAAACAACTCCAGGAAAAATTCTTGAAAATCAACTTCCGAAAAGTCAAATAATGGAAAAATACTTGTATCACATTTTGATATATTTTGGAAAAACCAACAAGGGGAAAATTTTGAAATTTTTTCAGTTAAAAGAGAAAGGTTAGGAGTTCATCATACTAGAATTTCAATCCAGTAGAAAACAACAACAGAAGAAATTCTAGAAAAATCAACTTTGTAACAAAATTCCCTAATAATGCAAATCTCATTACATACAATACAAAGACCAATATACAATAATCAGTTTTCTCTATCGGTTCTCGTTTAATATTTCCCGTGTACTCAACTTCCCTAATAATTATCTTACAAATTGGCGCCCAACGTGGGGCCACACTACGTTTCAAGACTGGTAGAGTGACTATTGTGTGCCGATCGCCTGTGCGCATACGTGCTATCTCCGAGAAAAGTCGTAGAGGAAAAATTTATCAAACTTGATGTAAGCAAGTCACTCACAAAGTATGGGGTTTACATGTAGATATAACTGAAAAAAAAGTCCTTGAATGGTTGATCATAACTCAAATAATGAAAAAACACTCAAGAGGAAGGTTAGGAGCTCATCATCATACTAGAATTTCAAATGAATCCAGTAGAAAACAACAACAGAAGAAATTCTAGAAAAATCACCTCCGAATAACACCATGTCACATTTTGATATATTTTGAAAAAACCAACAAGGGGAGAATTTTGAAATTTTTTGAGTAAAAAGAGGAGAGTTATGAGTTCATCATACTAGAATTTCAAGTAGATTCAGCAACCACAGCAGAAATTCTAGAAAAATCATCTTCGAATAACTCAAATAATGATAAAACACTATCACATTTTGATATATTTTGGGAAAAAAACCAAAAAGGTGAAAAGTTTTTGAAGTAAAAAGAAGTTTAAGAGCTCATCATACTAGAGTTTCAAGTGGATCCAGTGCAAAACAACAACAGAAGAAATTCTAGGAAAATCACCTTCCAATAACTCAAATAATGAAAAAACACTATCACATTTGGATATATTTTGGAAAAACCAAGAAGGGGAAAATTTTGAAATTTTTGGAGTAAAAAGAGAAAGGTTAGAAGTTCATCATACTAGAATTTCAAGTGGATTCAGTAGAAAAAAACAACAGAAGAAATTATAGAAAAATCCGAGGGGTGGTTAACTGGTAAAAATCCGTGTACAAGTTGGTCTAAATCCCAGCAAATCTCATAAGATCTACTCAAAATCCCTAAAAAAAATTAAAAATTCAACAAAATCCCACAAAATCTCTTGAAATTGCATAAAATTCTACAAAATCTAACAAAATTTTATTAAAACCAAAAAAATCCAGCAAAATCTCATAAAATCATTAACATTCCTAAAAAATAATTCCCTTTGAAATTCATAAAAATCCTTTGAAATTCCCAAAAATCTGTAAAAGTCTTTCAGAATTCCATAATTTAGTGGAATTTGGAGGAATTTCGGTAGAATTATGTTATTCTAAGAAAGGAATTACATGTGAAATTTTTGCGGAGTTTCCATAGAATTCATATTAAATTTTAGTTCCTCTCGGATTACCTACATGAAGTTTCAGTGAAATTCCGGTCGAATTATACAAAATTCTAAATGAATTGTATGGAGGAATTTCAAACAATTATATGAAATTACACCGAAATTACAAACATGAAATTTCAGCTCTTACTGAATTTTAGTAAAATTCCAAAAAATTCCATAAGTGGAATGCGAGGAAATTTCCGGCTAAAAACATGGAATTTCGGTGGTATTTCGAAAAATTCCCATAAAAAAACAAAATTTTAATATATTTCGGTAAATTTTCAAGAAGTTACTTGAAGTTTCATTAATAAATTTAATTTCATTAATATTCCCAAAAATTACTAGCTATTGAAAGAGAATTTCAGTGAAATTCCTAAAAATTCTTATGAAAATAAATGAAATTTTGAAAAATTTCACAAGTGGAATTCCGAGGAATTTCCGGCTAAAAACTTGGAATTTCGGTGTAATTTGGAAAAATTCCTATTTAATGATATGAAATTTCAATATATTTCGGAGGAATATCGGTGAATTTTCAAGAAATTACATGAAGTTTCATTAATATTCCCAAAAATTCCTGACTATTGAAGTTTCATTGGGATTTCGAGAAATTTTCGACTAATAACGTGGAATTTCAGTGAAATTTTATAAAATCCTTATAAAATGTCAGTGAAATTCCGAGGAATTTCTAAGAAATTACAGAAAATGTCAGTGAAATTGCGAAAAATTTTATGAAAATTTTGTAGAATTCCAGGATATTTCAGTAGTGAAGTTTTGAGGAATTTCAGTGAAGTTTCAAAAAAATTATGGAATTTGGAATTTCTATAGAATTTTGGAGAATTTCAATGGGATTTCAAAAAAAAAAAAATTATGAAATATTCGCAGAATTTCCATCAAATTATATATAATTTCACATAAAATTTCGATGAAATGTCGAGTAAAATTCCAAGGAATTCTTGTCGAATTACATACATGAAATTCCTTGAAATGTTATTGTGGAAATCCAGTGAAATAACATGGAATCCGAAGAATTCCCTTGGAATTAAACAGAATTTCCATGGAACCACGAGAAATTTCGGCGGAATTCCGGAGAATTGAATTAAATTTGAGTGAAATTCTGAGTAAGTTCTGTCGAATTACATAAAATTAAAGTGGAATTCCGGGAAGTTTCATGAAATATTTTACTGTAATTCCGAGGAATTTTTGTACAAGAATTCCATTGAATTTTATGGTGGAATTGCATGGAACCTTATGGTGGAATTCGGAAAAGTGTTTTGAGATCTTATGGTAAATTTTCTAGGACTTCCTGTTTTACTATTCAAATTTGTTATTTGAATGGAATTTTGAGGAATTTCATAAAATCTTCTAGTGAAATTCTATGGAATTAACAAAAATTTTCGGAGAAATCCCATGGAATAATTTGAAATTTTAGTGGAATGCCGCAGAATTTTATGAAATCTCATAAGTAGTGTAATTCCGAGGAATTTTTGTCCAAGAATTCCATAGAATTTTATGGTGGAATTCCATAGAATCATATGATGAAATTCGGAAAAGTATTATGAAATCCTATAGTAGAATGTCTAGGAATTTCTGTTTTTTTGTCATTTGAATTTAAAATTTCTAAAAACTTTTCAAGAACCCCTAATATGCTCCAGAATCACCTAAAATTTTGAAAATCTAAAATCTTCTGAACTCCTGTAAAATTGTGTAAAGATTTTCAAAATTCCCACAATCCTACAAAATCAATTAAGATTCAAAATATGTGCTCATTATTAGAGTTAACTAAACCTCGCAGCGGTTGATTGATCAAAATACAAGTCCAGAAAAACTTGTAAGATATACATATTCAAAATCCCAGAAAAGCTTTAAAAATTTAACAAAACCTCACAAAATCCCTTAAAAATCATTTGAAATAGCATAAAATTTCACAAAATCACCCAAATTTTATTAGAATTTAAAAAAAACGGCAAAATCTTATAAAATCATACATATGTATGTATTTCTAAAAAAAAAATCCTTTAAAATTTCCAAAAATCTTTTGGAATCCTCAAAAATCCGTTAAAATTTCTAAAAATCCTTTAGGATATCTAATGGCCGTTTCCACCAACTATTTTAGGGGAGCTTCAACAATAAGTATTCCTTAAAATGACAGTATTCTATGAAGAAATGTCAGTTCAAAAAATACTTATCGTTAAGGCTTCCCTCTAAATTAGTTGTTAAAAACACCATAAAAACCCTTTCTAAATTCCCTAAAATGATCCAAAATCACCTAAAATCTCATAGATCTTTCAAAATCCTGTAAAATCACGTGAAGACTTTCAAAATCCTCAAAATCGTACAAAATCAATAAAGATTTAATTATGTACACATTTTATGGAAAACTAAACTTTGAACGGTTAATTGATGAAAATTTGTATACAAGTTGGTCAAAATCCCAGAAAAACTCGTAAGATCTACTCGAAATCCCTGAAAATCTTTAAAATCTTTAAAAATCTAACAAAATTTTATTAGAAAAAAAAAAATCCGGCAAAATCCTATAAAATTCCTAATAAAAAAATTCCTTTAACATTTCCAAAAAACCTTTGGGATCCCTAAAAATCTCTAGAAATCCTTTAGGATCTCTAAAAACCCTTCTAACTTCCCTAAAATGCTCCAAAACACCTAAAATCTTTTAAAATCTAGAAAAATCATATGAAGATTTTCAAAATCCTCAAAATCCTACAAAATCAATAAAGATTTAAAATCTGTGTACATATTTTAAGGAGTTAACCACCCCTCGGAAAAATCACCTTCCAATAACTCAAATAATGAAAAAACACTATTACATTTGGATATATTTTGGAAAAACCAAGAAGGGGAAAATTTTGAAATTTTTGGAGTAAAAAGAGAAAGGTTAAAAGTTCATCATACTAGAATTTCAAGTGGATTCAGTAGAAAAAAACAACAGAAGAAATTATAGAAAAATCCGAGGGGTGGTGGAAAAAAACAACAGAAGAAATTTTAGAAAAATCCCCTTCCAACAACTCAAAAAAAAATGAAAAAATACTCTGTCACATTTGGATATATTTTAGAAAAACCAAGAAGGGGAAAATTTTGAAATTTTTAAAGTAAAAAAAGGAAGATTAGAAGTTCATCATACTAGAATTTCAAGTTGACCTAGTAAAAAACAACAACAGAAGAAATTCTAGAAAAATCACCTCCCAATAATTCAAATAATGAAAAAACACTCTGTCACATTTGGATATATTTTGGAAAAACCAAGAAGAGGAAAATTTTGAAATTTTTGCAGTAAGAAGAGGAAGGTTAGGAGCTCATCATACTAGAATTTCAAGTTGATTTAGTAGAAAACAACAACAAGAGAAATTCTAGAAAAATCATTTTCCAATAACGCAAATAATGAAAAAACACTCTTTCACATTTTGATATATTTTGGAAAGACCAACAAGGGGAAAGTTTTGAAAGTTTTCCAGTAAAAAGAGGAAGGTTAGAAGTTCATCATACTAGAATAATGAAAATTGTCCAAAATCATTAAAATCAGAAGGGTAGAGTTTTTTACTCTTTTCATGGAAAAATATTTTTGAAGCAGGATTTTTGAATTTTAGACCAGAGGGGTAAGTAAAGTTTTTTGCCCAAATGGCAAATTTTTGAATTTTGGACAAAAATCATTAAAATCAAGAGGAAGGGGTATACAGTTTTTTAGGTCTTTTGAATTTTGTATCAAATCCATTACTTAAACTCAGAAGGAATATAGTTTTTTTCACTTCACAACTCAAAGTAATCTTGCCTTAAACAAGTTTCTATTTCTAGAACCGTTAAGTCAAAATAATTAAAACCGTATATTCTTACCTCTCTCAAAGTTGCATATTCTAATTTATGTGTCACAGCCATTCGAGCTCTAGCTAAATCGAAAGGATACGTCATCGCTTGTGACGTCATTCCTGCCAAAGAACCGGCAAAAAATCGTCTTTGGTGGGACCTAAAAAAAAAAATCCAATTTAACTTGACTGAAAGTCACATAAAAAATGTTTTACCCATTATTGTGTTGGTCAACTCTCAATACCCGTTTCCATTGTTCGTGCGCCGTAAACTGTATAGCCGAATAAGGCACTATTCGTGCCATTGTAGCACTGTTGCCTCGCCATAGTGCGAAAAAACCTTGTTTTCTGAGGGTTTCTAGTAGGAATTTGAAGGCTTTTTTTGTCGAATATGTTTTATCACTACAACAAAAACAGTCATTAGGTGAAATAACAGTTTCAACAATTAATTACCTTATTTGGAAATTAATTTTAGTTCTATCCAAAGGTGCAATAGTAGTTTTAGCTATTGCTCCGGCTAAAGCACCAGCAGATAAACTGCTCAAAACAATTTCCAGATTGGTTAGATGTTTTAATTTCGGATCTTCATTGGTGGATTTGGATTTGCCCATAATTGGTTTACATTATTTGCAATATGTGTGGATATTTACCTGAAAGAAAACAATACACTGATTCAGATTTAGAAAAATCTTATACGAGCGTTATACATATGGGGGACAAAAATTTGAGATTATTTATAGAACACTCGGTGCGTTTATGGGAAACTTACCGTAAAAGAACTATTGAATCAAACTTCAATAATTCGAATTATAGCGAAACATAAGTAAATCAAAGTTCAAAGTGTGGACCCTCCTTATCTGGAAATTAAGATTTTTGCTTGAAATCCAAATTTGTTTATTGTGTCTGCATAACACGCTAGCTCAAAGAAAAATAATGTAATCTTAGACAGGCATCAACTTTTTGTTTATTTTTTGACTGCCTGTATATGGTGAATTGTACAATTATTGAAAATAGATATTTTTGTTGATATTATAGGAACTATTTAATAAGTAAATTTTTCTTACATTTAAAATAATCCACCCTGCTTAACCTTCCAAAATTGAAGTTTTCTAAGTTCTAACTTTACCATTACAACTAATTATAAAATACTAACTACTTATAAACTTTTTGAAAGCAAATAAGTTTTTTTTTTGAAATTTTTTGTCAATTAATTGTAGAAGTTCCTTTACTACTTCAACCTTGTAACTATAAACAACACACGCTACTATTAATACATAATAATTATCGAGATTCCATTGCCATCGAGTTGAGAAAAATAATTAGTACGGGTGCCGGTAACTAGGAAATTATGTATGTGTTAAGATACTAGATTTTTTGAAAATTGTCAAGTTTTGCTTAAGGCCTGATAAAAGACAATAACCTTTCCCCTGAACAAGAGGATATTCTTCAACAATTACTCCAAACTAATTTAGATACTTTTAAATCTAGTAGTCAACCTACTCCTTTTGCAGAACATTCTAATAACCTCATAGACGAAACTCCAATTTCTGTACCTCCTTATTGCATCTCTGAAATAAGAAAAGAGCAATTGCGAAAAAAAAATTGATAAAACCCTTAGCCGATGAAACAGTAGAAGAGTGCGAGTCTCCATATGCTACCTTCTGTAGTTCTTGCTCCAAAGAAAGATGGTTGCATTAGTTGAATGCGAAAAAAATAGCCGACAAATCCCCTTGCCTCATATTGATGATACATTACATGCTGCAAAGGAAACTCGTTTTATGACAACTTTGGATTTGAGATCTGGTTATCATCACTCAAACCATCTGATCGAGACAAAACTGGTTTCATTTGTCCTTTTGAAACTTTTAGATATACAAGGATGCCATTTGGGCTACACAATGCTCCGTCCATATCTCAAAGACTAATTAATTGATTCTGTTCTGGACTTCAAGATATTAACATTAGGGTACTTCGATGATATAATTATTTTTTTCTATTTTGGTGTCATATCGAAGTCTTTTCGACACTAAAAGTAGTTTCGAAAAGAAGCTCTTTGTGACACTCCTTTTTTACTTTTCGCAGGTTGGTAACACTGGCTGACTGATGGCCATCGAACTATCATTCGCGATAAAAAATAATAGAAGATTTCTATATTTGGCATGTAGTGTTACCAACCTAAACATATGAAATCAGGAAATATGAGAATAAAATGTCCAAGAAAAGTTTTTTTTTTTTAATTAAACAATACCAAAATAGAAAAAATAGTATAAAATATTCGTTTCATAAGACATTTTATCGCACTCGCCCTTTAGAAAACTCGCCTCCGGCTCGTTTTCTAATATAGGGCTCGTGCGATAAAATGACGTCTTATGAAACTTGTATTTTAATGTACTATTTTCTATTTTGGTGTCATATCGAAGTCTTTTCGACACTAAAAGTAGTTTCGAAAAGAAGCTCTTTGTGACACTCCTTTTTTACTTATCGGAGGTTGGTGACACTGACTGACTGATGGCCATCAAACTGTCATTCGCTATTTTATAATAGAAGATTTCTATATTTGGCATGTAGTGTTACCAACCTAAACTATGAAATCAGGAAATATGAGAATAAAATTTCCAAGAAAAATTTGTTTTTTTAATTAAACAATACCAAAATAGAAAAAATAGTATAAAATATTCGTTTCATAAGACATTTTATCGCACTCGCCCTTTAGTAAACTCGCCTCCGGCTCGTTTTCTAATATAGGGCTCGTGCGATAAAATGACGTCTTATGAAACTTGTATTTTAATGTACTATTTTCTATTTTGGTGTCATATCGAAGTCTTTTCGACCCTAAAAGTAGTTTCGAAAAGAAGCTCTTTGTGACACTCCTTTTTTACTAATCGGAGGTTGGTAACACTGGCTAACTGATGGCCATCGAACTGTCATTCGCGATTTTGTAATAGAAGATTTCTATATTTGGGATGTAGTGTTGCCAACCTAAATATATGAAATCGAAATATGAGAATAAAAGGACCCCGCAATATTTAAATGGAAATTGGTTACCCGTGATATTTGGATGAAATTTAAATATGTTATTGTGGATGCCGTAAGCAACATTTTTTACCATGGGCACAACCCTGTATATATGACAGGTGAGGCGTGGTTAGCTGTCAAATATTGGAATCTTATATCCAAAAGCAGAGTAACTATGGCAGATTTTGATGAACAAAAAATCTATTTCTACTAAGTCGACCAAGTTAAGTCGAAAAATGTCAACCATTTTGACACCTGCCAAAACCCTGTCAAACGGCGGCAGTCATCTTTTCCAGTTTTCAATATTTCATGATGTCATTTGACACTTTTAACGTGTATGTAAATTCTGAATTCAAAAAATGAAAAAAAAATGACAGAACTGTCAAAACCTGTCATTTGTTTTAGTAGAAAAAATACTCTAATCTGATTCTTTTTTGTTTCAAGGTAGTTTATTGGTGATAAAACATTAAACAAAGTTCATGCATGTCACATTTTGACAACTGTCAGAATCTGTTTTTGCTTTTTGGTTCATATTAAGTTTGTTTGCTTAGTGAAGTTCTACAACTATAATGATAGAATAATACAATAATACAATAGAACTAAACCTTCACTAAGCGAACAAACTCAATATGAACCAAAAATCTATTAACAGATTCTGACAGTTGTCAAAATGTGACATGCATGAACTTTGTTTAATGTTTTATCACCGTTAAGCTACTTTGAAACAAAAAAGAACCAGATTAGACAGTTCTGTCATTTTTTTTTTTCAATTTTCGAATTCAGAATTTACATAGGTACAAGTTAAAAATATCAAATGACATCATAAAATATTGAAAACGGGAAAAGATGCTGCCGTTTGGCAGGGTTTTGACAGGTGTCAAAATGGTTGACATTTTTCGACTTGACTTGGTCGACTTAGTAGACATCGATACTTCGATCATCAAAATCTGCCATAGTCACTCTTCTTTTGGATACAAGATTCCAATATTTGACAGCTAACCACGCCTCACCTGTCATATATACAGGGTTGTGCCCATGGTGAAAAATGTTGCTTACGGCATCCCCAATGACATATTTAAATTTCATCCAAATATCACGGGTAACCAATTTCCATTTAAATATTGCGGGGTCCTTTCCAAGAAAAATTTGCTTTTTTTTAATTAAACATTACGAAAATAGAAAAAATAGTATAAAATATTCGTTTCATAAGACATTTTATCGCACTCGCCCTTTAGAAAACTCGCCTCCGGCTCGTTTTCTAATATAGGGCTCGTGCGATAAAATGACGTCTGATGAAACTTGTATTTTAATGTACTATATCAAACTCATTTGAACTTCATGTTAGTGATTTACAGGAAGTTTTTGATCGCTTAAAATTATTCAAACTTCAATTATTAAACCATTCGAAATGCAAATTTTCTTGTTCTTCTGTCAATTACGTTGAAGTATTTTTCATTTTTTATTAAATTACAATTTTTGCAATGTAATCACTGGTGAATCATTGCCTGAAGAACTCCAATCTGCTTTAACTTTAATTTGATTTTGTGGCTTGACTTGGTTTCATGAATTGCAAAGATTGTCAATAGGTCAGTGCTTATTTAATAAATGTGTGTTCATTTTGTTATGTATGTCTCTAAACTTTACCTACTTGTGATATGATATGATGTTAATATGTAGTTTTATCTACAAGCGTTTGGTTATGTATGACATTTTTACAAGGAAAAAAGGTACTCAGAAAAATTGAAAAATTGATAAATCACCCCAAATTGCTTAACACGATTTTATCTCAGGAACTATAAGTGCAAATGAACTGAAATTTTCAGGGATTGTAGTTCCTTGACTGGGATAAAATTCAGTGAAAGTTTCAGCTTTTTATCTATAATAGAAAAAAAGTAATGACCTTTCAAAGTTTTCCAAAATCTAAATCATAAGGTAGCTACCTTCTTACTAAAACGATGAAATTTTAATTTTTTTTTTGTCGAGTTTTTGTACCCTAATGATCAGTCAACATCCCCCGAACTCCATACACTAAATTATTCTCAGATTTGAAGCCGAAATCTATGAAAAAAGGCACTCAGAAAAACTGAAAAATTGATCAACCACCCCAAATTGCTTAACACGATTTTATCTCAGGAACTAGAAGTCCAAATGAGTTAAAATTTTCAGGGATTGTAGTCCTTTGATTGGGATAAAATTCAGTGAAAGTTGCAGCTTTCTATCTATAATAGAAAAAAAGTTACGACCTTTCAAAGTTTTCCAAAATCTAAATCATAAGGTAGGTACCTTCTTACTAAAACGATGAAATTTCAAATTTTTTTTTGTCGAGATTTTGTATCCTAATGGTCAATTACCATACCCCAAACTCTATACACTGAATTATTCTCAGATTTGAAGCCGAAATCTATGATAAAAGGCACTCAGAAAAATTGAAAAATTGATAAATCACCCCAAATTGCTTAACACGATTTTATCTCAGGAACTAGAAGTCCAAATGAGTTAAAATTTTCAGGGATTGTAGTCCTTTGATTGGGATAAAATTCAGTGAAAGTTGCAGCTTTCTATCTATAATAGAAAAAAAGTTACGACCTTTCAAAGTTTTCCAAAATCTAAATCATAAGGTAGGTACCTTCTTACTAAAACGATGAAATTTCAAATTTTTTTTTGTCGAGATTTTGTATCCTAATGGTCAATTACCATACCCCAAACTCTATACACTGAATTATTCTCAGATTTGAAGCCGAAATCTATGAAAAAAGGCACTCAGAAAAATTGAAAAATTGATAAATCACCCCAAATTGCTTAACACGATTTTATCTCAGGAACTATAAGTCCAAATGAGTTGAAATTTTCAGGGATTGTAGTCCTTTGATTGGGATAAAATTCAGTGAAAGTTGCAGCTTTCTATCTATAATAGAAAAAAAGTTACGACCTTTCAAAGTTTTCCAAAATCTAAATCATAAGGTAGGTACCTTCTTACTAAAACGATGAAATTTCAAATTTTTTTTTGTCGAGATTTTGTATCCTAATGGTCAATTACCATACCCCAAACTCTATACACTGAATTATTCTCAGATTTGAAGCCGAAATCTATGAAAAAAGGCACTCAGAAAAATTGAAAAATTGATAAATCACCCCAAATTGCTTAACACGATTTTATCTCAGGAACTAGAAGTCCAAATGAGTTAAAATTTTCAGGGATTGTAGTCCTTTGATTGGGATAAAATTCAGTGAAAGTTGCAGCTTTCTATCTATAATAGAAAAAAAGTTACGACCTTTCAAAGTTTTCCAAAATCTAAATCATAAGGTAGGTACCTTCTTACTAAAACGATGAAATTTCAAATTTTTTTTTGTCGAGATTTTGTATCCTAATGGTCAATTACCATACCCCAAACTCTATACACTGAATTATTCTCAGATTTGAAGCCGAAATCTATGATAAAAGGCACTCAGAAAAATTGAAAAATTGATAAATCACCCCAAATTGCTTAACACGATTTTATCTCAGGAACTAGAAGTCCAAATGAGTTAAAATTTTCAGGGATTGTAGTCCTCTACTGGAATAAGATTCGCTGAAAATTTCAGCTTTATATCTTTGATAGAAAAAAAGTTATGACCTTTCAAAGTTTTCCAAAATCTAAATCATAAGGTAGGTACCTTCTTACTAAAACGATGAAATTTCAAATTTTTTTTTGTCGAGATTTTGTATCCTAATGGTCAATTACCATACCCCAAACTCTATACACTGAATTATTCTCAGATTTGAAGCCGAAATCTATGATAAAAGGCACTCAGAAAAATTGAAAAATTGATAAATCACCCCAAATTGCTTAACACGATTTTATCTCAGGAACTATAAGTCCAAATGAGTTAAAATTTTCAGGGATTGTAGTCCTTTGATTGGGATAAAATTCAGTGAAAGTTGCAGCTTTCTATCTATAATAGAAAAAAAGTTACGACCTTTCAAAGTTTTCCAAAATCTAAATCATAAGGTAGGTACCTTCTTACTAAAACGATGAAATTTCAAATTTTTTTTTGTCGAGATTTTGTATCCTAATGGTCAATTACCATACCCCAAACTCTATACACTGAATTATTCTCAGATTTGAAGCCGAAATCTATGAAAAAAGGCACTCAGAAAAATTGAAAAATTGATAAATCACCCCAAATTGCTTAACACGATTTTATCTCAGGAACTATAAGTGCAAATGAGCTGAAATTTTCAGGGATTGTAGTCATCTGAAAGAGATAAAATTCAGTGAAAGATTCAGCTTTCTATTTATAATAGAAAAAAGGTATGACTTTTCAAAGTTTTCCAAAATCTAAAAATCATAAGGTAGGTAGGTACCTTCTTACCAAAACGATGAAATTTCTATTTTTTTTTTGTCGAGATTTTGTACCCTAATGGTCAATCAACATCCTTCAAACTCCATACACTAAATTCTCAGATTTGAAGCCGCAATCTATGAAAAAAGGCACTCAGAAAAATTGAAAAATTGATAAATCACCCCAAATTGCTTAACACGATTTTATCTCAGGAACTATAAGTGCAAATAAGCTGAAATTTTCAGGAATTGTAGTCCCTTGATTTGGATAAAATTCAGTGAAAGTTTCAGCTTTCTATTTTCAATAGAAAAAAAGTTATGCCCTTCCAAAGTTTCCCAAAATTTATTTGTTAATGGGTATCAACCAATGACATTAACATATATTGCCTAGATATCTACAAGTATTGACATATATTACTTACATAATTAACAAGTAGGTATTGCATAGTATTGACACTATTGACATAGTATTTACCTGGTATTGACATATTAACGAGTCATTTGTACACCAATTACCAAGGTAAAAAACCCCTCGTGGAAATCATTGAATATTTGTTGTAAGCATAAGTAGTGATTGACCCTTCAGATTGGCTCCTAACTTTCCATTTTTTTCCCTAAAAATTTCACAATTTTCACTTGAGTCGAGCCTGTAGTAGTTTTCCAAAAAAAATATTAAAATGTAAGAGGGTGCATTTTTGCTTAATATGGGCTTCCAAGTTTCCTCTGTTTCTCCTAAAAGTTTCATAATTTTCCCTTCCTAGTGGTTTTTCACTTGTCCCATATAAAAGCTCATACCCGAGTTCATACTTAAAGGGGGTGTGCGCGCCAAAAAAACAACTTCATCTCAAAAAAAAGAGAAAAAAAATCTAAGAATAACAGTGAAATCCGCACCCCTCTATGACAAATAATACCGCAGATATGGCTCTATGAAGGTACCGCATCTTACCCTATGACGTCACGAAAGCTCAAGCGACGCACGAGAAAGTGGAGTTAATTAAATTTACATATGTTTTTCCTGTGTTACCTGCAATAATCTAAACAAAAACCACTCAGGCGTGCTGGGAACAATCAAATTATATATGCGGAGCGCAGCTGTAAGTTTTCGTGACATCACGAGAGCGTCGTCCACACTTTAAAGCGGTATATCTCAGCGATGGTTTATCGTAGAATAACGAGGTTTGAACAGTTATTCTTAGATTTTTTTACACTAAAACTTTAATTTTTGGCGCACACCCCCTTTAAATAGCAGATCTTTTTGATTTTTCAAGCAGGTAGAGCAAGTACAAATTCCAATAAATTTAAAGTACTTACTTTTTGACTCAAATTTTCTCAAAAAGGTTCTCACGCATTTGTGTTGAATTTAATTTCTGAGTCAAAAAATTGAGCCCTTGAAAAATATCTTGTTTCTGAAAAATCGATTCAAGTATGGAATTAAAGAAAAGAGCATATTAATATGCTAATTAGCATAAGTTGGAATTTATCAAAAATCAAAAACTTCTAATTCATTATTGATTGACCAATAAACTTTATTGGAATATCTAGCAACCTCAAATCACCACCTATAATGGTTACCAGCGGGTCTGGTGAACATAAGGACCCACAGAATTTCACTTTTATTTTTTTTTTTAGAGGAAACCTCTATTAGTATAGAACAGTTTAAAAGAAAAAAATCGCTGGATAACGCACTTTTAAAAGAAAGAAACGCATAAAAAAGAATAATAAAACAAGCCATTTACACAACATTTCAATGTTAAAACTCCACTAACATTACTAGGTACTTACAATGTTGCCAAGTTTTTCCATTAACGTGAATTTGAAGACTCGTTTATTATTTCCATTTCGCATACATATTTTCTTTTAAATAAAGCGTTTCACTGAAGGAAAATTAACCATAAATCAACTTAACTTTATTCACCTAAATCCATAAATGTTCCAATAATAATAACAAAAGAAATATCAAAAAAAGAAAACAATTTTATCAAAATATGTATAAATACATAGGAAAAAAAAATTACACAAATGGATAATGCTGACCAATGTAGTCCACCATATTAAAAAAATGCTCAGCAGCAGTGTTAATGTGATTTTTTATATTTAATAGAAATTATTATTTTTTTTTTCATAAATTCATGTCCACCCACTTCAAAAATAGGCATTATAGTGATCCTCTTCTCAACCTTTAACACAGATCAATGAATAATATCTGTTCTTATCAGCTTAATATCGCTCTGCATGCAAAAATTCAACATACTAGAACAATTTCTATAAATTAAAAAATTATCTTTCGAGTTACCCTCTGGGACCACTGGAATAATCGAGCAACTTATTGTTTTTGATTTTATTAAATTCAAATATCTCTCACCATATAGAAACAAATCATCATTTTGAAGCAATTTCCATGAACAAGTATCTCTGAAAAATCGATATTGTGGTATCACTGTTTTCTTAGAGACACCAGTAGACATAGCAGCACATCCCACTCTAACTTCCCACGCCCATTCCCACAACAGAAAAAGTGATACTCGTAAAGGGATTTTAGTTTTTTCAATTTTTTTTTTTTGGCAAAAATCTCAGTTCATCCATCGTTTTTTTTGCTTTAATAAGTCCAAAATGCAATAATGTTTCTATTGCATATTCAAAAATTGTTAGATTCTGTGGGTCCTAATGTTCACCAGAACCGTTACCAGCTTTCAATTTTTTAAACCAGATTTCAAAAATAATTACTTAAGCCCCCTTACTAAAACCAAATTACCCATCTCTTTCTAACCCACACCGGAGTACCGCACTAATAATAGTACCCCTACTCTTTTTACCTGCGCATTAGTACTACACCTGTAGTAAACAAAAATTCATTGAATCGAAATCTTTATTGTTTAATTTGCAGACGTGTCAATATTTATTTTGTGTTTAAAATAATAGAAAAATGGTAAGAAATTACTTATGTAATTATTGGTATTTAATTAATGCTTTATTTTAAGGCTAGATACTTTAAAGAACAAGACATCGATGGTAAGTACTAAAACAACCATAATTATACTATTGTTGACACAGATTTTTGGTTCAAATAAAATGATAATTAATTTTGGCTAATCAAGCTATATTATGACATCATTAATTGCTTGAAACATGATAAGAAAATAAGTAATCTTTATTTGATTTATGCATACCTAATATTTTCTAGAATTTAGAGAATGCTTCTACCTATTTGCCCGTTCGGGACATATCAAATCCCTCGATGAGCTCACTGTAATAATGCGAAGCTTAGGGCTGAGCCCCACTATATCCGAACTTGCAGGATATTTCAAGCAAAAGGTAACTTGTTTGCTGTCTAAATTCGAAAACTCACATCACTGTTTATTTTAGAATGGCAAAATGACTTTTGCCGACTTCCTAGAAGTAATGCATGTCCACTCTAGAGTGGAAAACTTGCCGAAAGAAATCGTGGACGCATTCAAAGCCGCCGATCCGGAAAATCGCGGTACCATCCCAGCAAAGCACTTGAGACATTTGTTGCAAAATTGGGGCGAAAGGTTATCGGTCAAAGAAGTGGACAGGATTTTTCGGGAGGCCAACGTCACCAACAACAACGCTATGGTGAAATATGAAGATTTTGTTAAAATTGCTTGTGCCCCAATACCTGACTATTATTGAATATTATTACATAAAAACTTACCTGCCTGTGGTTTAAAGGGACATTTCAAATTTGCACTGAACTTGTGTAAAACTGTTACTGAATACTAAATGCACTTAAGGTCAAGTCTTTTATCAATTGGTAATTAGTTAAATAAATATTAGAACGCATTAATTTATATATTTGTTTTTTTTTTTTTAAAAAATCACTTCAAATTTCGGAGCAAAATGTCAATGCATTCAACTGATGTCATTTTTAAAAGTGAGGTTATGGTTATGATGGTGCAAACACCAATGAACTAAACACTTGAAAAAAGAACACGTCAGCTGCTAGTCATATTAATCCAAAATTATATTTTTCTCTTTTTATCCTATGAAAATTTCTATTGCTTTCTCTTTCTTTAGATAATTTCGAGTAGTTAATTTTTTTTTCTAATCAATAATCAAAAGGAGACGTGTCAAAAAATGTGTTAAAGTGCCGGGCTAAAAACCAAAAATTCAAATTAAATGAAAATGTCTTCAAAACTATTATTAAGTAAGTTCAATTATTAAATTCTTACAATTTTATTAAACAAAAATGTCCAATTTTTAGTTTGTTTACTTGTGGCCGCATTAGCCTCACTTTCAGAGGCAAGCATCGGAGGCTACATTTGCCCGTATTCGAGCAAAAAGTTTCTGGATATTGCCAGCAAAGCCCTAAAGGCAGATACCCAAGACATTTCCAGCCTTTATCATGCGGCAAACAGCTTCAAAATCCTCAACGAAGCTGTGCCAGCTAATCTTAAACCGGTTGCTTGCCAGACTGTGAAGAAGCTGTTCAATGTTGAAACTTTGGAAATTGATAATTTGTTTTATGGAGTTGAGAGTTTTAAGTTGCTGGGGTGCGATGGGAAGTTGTCTACTGAAGGAGTTGTGAAGGTAATTTTGGATTTGTTTTGTTTGGAAATGCTCAGCTGAATAAGTTTGAATTCAACTTTTTGTTAAGTCACAGTCTAAACACTTGAAACTTATCAAAATAAATTCAGTGTAGCTTATAGACTGTGAATGCTTATTCTTCGAAGTTTTCTGGAAACATATTACTTACATTCTACTTGGTGGTGCATATTTTCAAATTGAGAATTAACAATCACAATCTAATGAGACATTATTATAATTTATATCATTTCAATGTTGTTTAGAATGTGAATTGACAATATTTTTAGACTCAAATGTAAGAGAGATGATATCAATATTTGTCTATTTTCGGCTCTTGAATTCAACTTTTTGATAAGTCACAGTCTAAACACTCAAAACTTATCAATAGTAATATAACTAGTGCAATGGAAATTATTGATAATTTTTGGGAAATTTGCCCGAATGAATTTTTAGTTGAAAAAGAGCACGAGTGCACTCACGAGTGCCTTTTTCAGTTAAAAACGCATGAGTGCAAATTTGTCGAAAATTATAAATATATTTCCATTGCACGAGTTGTATTTACTTAATGAGAGAATTTCATAAATCAAAAATTTAAATTTTTTGTCAAAAAATGTCAAAACACCAGTTTTCGCACCAGTTAGTATGAAATTATCAAGTAATTACAATCTGATTGGTTCAAATCAACAATCAAAACATGTCAATTTATTGTTGGAATACCAGTTTTGACAGATGTATGAAATTCTCAAAATAAATTAATGGCGTTTCCGATTGGTAGATTCAGTGCGCACTGAGTGTATTTGCATCTTTTTAATTGACCCTGTAGAAGAAAAAGACAGAAATAGAAAAAATTGCACTAGTTCCGCACTAGATCTACCAATCGGAAACGCCATTAGTGTATCTTATAGACTGTGAATACTAATTATTCAAAGTTTTCTAAGAAAAAAATCTATTTTACTTGCTGCATCTTTTCAAATTGAGAATAACAGTCACAATCTAAGAGACATTATTATAATTTATATCACTACAATGTTGCTTAGACTGTGAATTGACAATATTTTTAGATTCAAGTGTAAGAGAGATGAAATCAGTACCTATTTGTCTATTCCCAGCTCTTGAATTCAACTTTTTGATAAGTCACAGTCTAAACACTTGAAACTTATCAAAATATCGAGGGGATAACATCTTCTTGAATTTTGTGACAGTATTGCGACAATCCCTACGATTTTCCTAAGATTGCTGCGATTGCGACTGCAATCCGGGATTGTGAGGCGATTGTTAGATTTTGGAGGATTGCATTGTGACTGCATATGATTGTGAATGATTGCAGACGATTGTAGGCGATTGCGAGTGACTCAGAAAGATTTTTGGTAGCTGCTTGAGTTACTGAGTTACACTGACATATTATTATCTTAAGGAACATATTTATTTATTTTGGCCATTAGATTATAGATTTTTATTTATCAACCCACAAATAAAAATACGAGTAAAAATATGAACAAATATATTTTGCTATTCTTTCAAGGATTTCAAAGTTGTATATGGATATGTACAGGGTCTGTTCCTTTATCGCTCATGAATAGTGTTTATAAATAGTGTCGCTTCTACAACTTGAACAAAAAAAAAAAATAATAAAAAAAGTTAAATACAAAAGTTGTAGGGTTTTATCTCTATCATCTTTTGCACATGCACATGTCAAAACGGGTAAATGGCAGGTGTCAACAAACATAATGACAAACACTTGCATTTTTTCAAATGGAACACCCTGTATATTTTTGAATAAAATGATATATTTCTTCTGATTCCAAATATACCATATACAAATGTTGATATTTGGTTCAGCAGTTTTTATGATATCTAAGTTTTAAAATGCATTTACATTACCCTAAATTAAGTCAGTTCCCGGTTCCTTAAATCAATGGTGAGGCTCACTTAATGCAATTTTGGTATGGTGTATTTGGAATCAGAAGGAAAAGATCAATCATGCTAGCCAAAAGTATAATAGAGATAATACCCTACAACTTTTGTATTTAACTTTTTTTTTTGTTTAAGTTGTAGAAGCCGCACTAATTATGAGGAACCAAATCAAATCAAATCATTTATTGGTGCATTACTTCACAAAGTTTACACAAGTCAAATATATAGTAGTGGCAATTTTCAGGAACCTTTACGAACAATATTACTAACTAACAATCCTCTAAATCATTAAAATTATTGGTGGTATATTCCTCTATACTAAAAAAAGCTTTCTTAATTAAATAATTTTTAATTTTATTTTTGAAACAATTCAAATTTAGCATTCTAATGGAGGTTGGTAACACATTATTGTAGGTGGTAGACGCTTTTTACTCATTGGACGTCGACCGGTGAGATACCACCATGCCAGAATTGAGTAGCGCTAAATGGTATCACCACGTTCCGCTACTGCGCTGGCAGTCCGGTTCCAACAATGAGTAACAGATAGCATGATGGCGCCTCCAGGATCAAAATATTCCGGAGGTAAAATACCCGACCACTCGGATCTCCGGGCGTCGGGTGATCCTGGGGGTCCTTCATGCAAAGATATAAAGAGAAGATCAAAAACTCAACTCAGAATTGATTTTAGCAATATAAGAGGAATAAGTACAAATATGAATTCAGTTCACCAACATCTTGATGAACAAAGACCTGACATCCTTGTTCTCACTGAAACTAAAATCAGTTCTGCAACACCTATTGTGAACTATCTTTATCCCGGCTATGACCTACACCACCGATTTCGACATAATTTTGGGATCTGTGTGTACATTAAAAATGACCTTTCATGTCATCGAGAGGACAAGCTAGAACCAGCGAACCTTGATATCATATGGCTAAAATTCACCTCAAAGTCATCGACCAAGTTTATCTGCTGCCTCTACCGACCGCCAAGTAACACCGATTACCAAAACTTTTTCGCGACATTATCCGAAAGCTGTGATAGTATACAGTCGAACTATCCACAGGCGGAAATTGTCTTTTCAGGCGATTTCAACGTCCACAATATACCCTGGCTGAAACACCACAACAAAACAGATAACGAAGGCAGAGAAGCAGAAGCTTTTGCCATAAGTTGTGGTCTAACGCAGCTTGTCGATGAACCTACCCGTATCTCAGAAAGGGGCGAATTTGCAGCGCTTTTAGACTTGTTCCTAACCACCAATCCTGACTCGTACACAATTCAAGTAGATGCTCCACTTGGTTCGTCCGATCATAAACTTATAATAACAAAGTGCGAAATGCTCATCCCACCAAGCCTACAACCACTTCCTCGTAAAATGTGGCACTATAAATCGGCAAAATGGAATGACCTAAAACAGTATTACCTGGATTTTCCATGGCAAGAGGTTTGCTTTAAAACAGCTAATCCCACTATTTGCTGTAATGAAATAACACAAGTAATCTTATCTGGAATGGACGCATATATCCCACATACAACTAAACGTAGAGCTAATGCAAAACCTTGGTTCAACAGCCAGTGTCAAACGGCTGTACAGAAAAAACACAGAGCATATAACCTTTGGAAACGACAACAAACCGCTCAAAACCACACAGAATTTATAGAAGCCAGAAATAGTTGCAAAATTACTATTGACTCCGCTAAAGAAACATACAATCAAAGAATAAAAAACAGGTTGCTGAATTGTCCAAGTAGTTCTAGGTCCTTTTGGTCTCTTGCAAAAGCTGTTGGATCTAACTTCACCAAGTCATCCATACCACCACTTACAGATAAAAATAATCACTTAGCCACAACATCAGAGGAAAAAGCCAATATGCTTGCCCAAATGTTTTCCTCCAACTCCAACCTAACAGTGCCAAACGGAAAAACTCCACCGTTCATTGAAAGGGTTTCCCATAGTATGCCAGAGGTACCCTTTTGTCACAGAGAAATACGAAAATCCCTTAAAAAGCTAGATACAAACAAAGCAATGGGTCCGGATGGCATTCCCGCAATAGTACTCAAAAATTGCGCCAACTAACTCACCCCAACTTTCGCAAAATTATTCAATTTGTCTTACAGGCAAGGAGTATATCCATCATCATGGAAGTCTGCCGCAGTACAACCCATTCCAAAGAAAGGAAAAAAGACAGATCCGTTAAACTATAGACCAATTGCTCTACTTCCGGTGATATCAAAAGTAATGGAAAGAGTTGTGAACAATCACCTAACCAAGTACTTGGAAAAGTACAAAATTATCAACGATAAGCAATACGGATTTCGAAAATATAGGTCAACTGGCGATTTACTTACATACGTCACTCACTTATGGCAAAAAGCGATTGAGTTGCGGGGTGAAACAAGAACAATTGCCTTAGATATATCTAAAGCATTCGACAAAGTTTGGCATGAAAATCTGCTCAACAAGCTCAAAGCAATGGGATTATCGCCGAAACTTTGCACTTGGTTTGAAAGTTACCTAAAGGACAGATCCATTTATGTTGCACTGGATGGCCAGAACTCCAACTCTTACCAAATAAATGCTGGTGTGCCACAGGGAGCAATCCTTTCGCCAACTCTTTTCCTGATTTACATAAATGACCTCATAGATAAAACAGTAAATCCACTTTATTGCTTTGCAGACGATGGCAATGTAGTCTCCTCACTCATACCACCCACAGGTCTTTCCGCACGTGAATTCCACCATCTTAGACTAACTCAAATATCGCAGATAAATAACGACCTGGAGATAATAGAGGACTGGGGTAACAAAAACCTTGTACAGTTCAACGCGCAGAAAACCCAAGCAGCTCTGTTTTCAAAAAAGACCAGCACCGGTGAGCCAAACATCATGCTATCTGGAAGTGCTGTCACATTACAGAGTCAGTTGAACATCTTGGGGGTTACTGCAGAGACCAACATGTCTTGGCACAGTCACGTGGCAGATATTGCTAAAAGGGCCTCCCAAAAGCTGGGAGTGCTATTTCGTACAAGACATCTGTACACACCAAGCCAATTGCTGACACTCTACAAAGCCCAGATTCGACCA